AACGGCAATTGTAAAGGCATGTAGGATCTAAGCAGGTTCTTCTTTTTCATCTTACCGCTGATGAGTTTCGAATGATGAGATTCTGCCCATTATTGAGTGAATCGCACCCCCAGATTGATTGCTGAAGTTTCGAATTATGTTTTTTCGTTCGTCTTTGCGCAGTAGGTAAATGGTGACGATTCTGAAAAGTACTTTATGATAAACAAACGAGAAGTTAAGCTAGTTATTAGTTATATTAATAAAGATTGGATGAAAGACATCAAGTCAAACGATTCCAAGACTCACCCCTGATAGAGTTGGCTCCCAGAGTATAAAAGCAGATTTCCAAAGTAATAGAAGAAATCGGAAACCATCGGAGCCCATGGCATAATTGTAATGAAAAGGAATGGAGCAAGGAGATAACAATAAGTGAATGGTAAATTGTTGGCCACGATCTGGAAAGATAGGTTGTTTGCACTTTAGAAAAAACTCACTTGAGCAAAAAGGAAACGTTCGCTAGCATGATTGACGGTTTTTTTTGATCTCTGAAATTTCGTAATTAGTATGAAGTAGAACAGTGTTGAAAAAGTTTAAATTCATTGCTCATTGTCAGGGCATTGAACTTCTGGAATTAAGAAATCACGGCAATTCGACTTACAATCATCTTGTAGATGAGAATAAAATCAAGCGAGATTGTCGCTGAAACAATCGTAATCCGAATATTAACTAAAATATAGTTATTTTAAAGTAAAATGGAAATCCAACAAATGTCAGCAATCCACATCTTCGAGACGAATCCAAGAACATAAGGAATTGCGACTTGAAGCCATGGATATCTGCGCATTCGATGATAGTACATTCCACCAAATGATAGAGCAAGGAAACGGTTCAATGATAACGCTGAAATAATGTTATCTATAACCACAAAATGAACAGCTTGCTTATTTGCACCATGCTGGAAATGTAAAGGAAAGGGTTCAAGAAAATTTGAAGCCATTGATAGATTTGATATACAAGACCATCACATCTCAAGGAAGGAATGCTGAAATTAGAGTTTTTGGCGGAATTCTTCAAAACAACTTACAAAGATTGAAATACACAGTAAAAGGCAAGTACAAGGAGAGCTGAATAAACCGCTCTAGTCAAGGAATCAGCGATTAATAGCATTGAGACGACTTTGAAAAGGAGACGAGATCTCCAACAAAGCCAAGCACTCACAATGTTCGCGAAAACGGAAATGATTGAGCACTAAACATTTTGTTTGAAGAAAACTGCTGAAGAAGTAAAAAGAAGAAGTTCTTTTTCTGCAATTCATTCAATGATATTTATTAGGTTGTCCAGTTATGAATGCACGCCTGCTCTTGAACAGCATACCTTAGGGCTATACAATTTTATCAAAACCTATTCTCTATATGCTGTTCGAGATTTTTTTATTTATTACAACTTTTCGTGTTTTTGACGTTAAACTAATTCATTTTTGATTTAACCTCCGTGTTTAGATGACCGAGACGAAGTTTCGTCTTTGTGCCAGTCTTTGGTATGACTTCAAATTGGGCAAAAATGCCGCTGAATCTCATCGAGATCTCTGCAAAGTATTTGGCAAAGATGCTATATTGTTGATCTCCGGATATTTCTCCTTCGGATTACCATTTATTTCGCTCAGTACGAAACCATTTGGCTGGAAATAGGTTCAAAGATGTTCAAGAGGTCGAAAAATGGTTAGCCGACTTCTTTGCCTTAAAAGAAGCCAAATTTTACGCCGAGGGAATTCATTCTTTGCATGGAAAATGGAAACAAATATTGTTAACAAATGGTGAATATATTGTTGATTGAGCTGTTAAACTGTTGGTTTTAAAATAAAGAGTTGTTATCTTAAAAACGCGCACTTATAACTGGACAATCTAATACTTTGGCACTTCCTAGCATCAACCCTAGTTAGCCTGGCTTTCTTGCACTAACATTCATTTTTTAGGGATCGACACGAGAACAGAGTTGCAGTCAATCGAATGAAGCCAGCTCGAGAAGAAACTCCACGTCCAACTGCTCCAACGATTTTCAAGAGGGATTTCAGCGGCCCAAGCAGCACGAGTAATCAATTAATTTTATGACAACATTGTTGAAACGAGTATTTGAATGGATTCACAAATTCAAGACGGGCAACACAAGGATCTAAAGGAAGAGGGGAAAGCGGACCTCGGAAAGTGGATCGATCGATTCTGAGACACAGTCTCCTGCTAAAACTCGATGGATCAACCTAGATCAATTGGCTAGACATTACTGTGAACGAATGACTGTCTGGCGATGGCTGCGAAAAATCGGAAGAAATTGGAGAAAACAACGCCAAACCCGATACAAAATGTCGGAAACCATCCAAGCCAAAGGGGACATGCCACCACTTGTGGAGCGAAAACCGGTATGGTCGGCTTTTTCTTTCAAACATCATCACTCACCATGCTTCGGTATTTAACTAATCGTTTGACACTTACAAAAAACTGCGTGAAAGTGAAGACATGATGCAGATCAGCAAATCTATCCGTTTTGACAACAATCGCATTTACAGTGGTCATATTTGGAAGTTTGTAGAAGATTACAAGCAATGCACCTGAAAAAGAAGATTGGATTCAAGTTTTGAAAACTTATACTTTACCCAAGCTGTAAAACTTACCATTAATGATAAAAAATATCGATAAAACGATGAGGATTTCCCTGAGCATTTGTGGAGTTGAGAATTGATGCGCTGGGTTTGGATTCCTTTTCAAAGTGAATATAGCCATTGGTGGATGTTTTTCAACGTCCGAATGGCTTCGTCTCACTGGACGAATGTTTCTATCTTGTAAGACAGCCAGAGTTTGCCTATCATTGATTGATATTGTAAGTTTAAAATTCTATAAAGTTCAAGACATAAACAATAACTTATAACCGTTTTTGAATGCATCTCAAAGCTGAAAACTGCAAAAGTAGATGTCTCGAGTCAAACATTGCAATCAAGACTGTGATTTCTAAAATAGGCAAGAGGACAAGAAGTGCAAAGAAAAAAGTGTTCAATAAAAATAGGTTATTTCCGGCAAGAGGCAAAATAGGCCAGAGCACAAGAAAAATTGGTGGTTCGAATGAGTGCAGAGGAAAAAGTGATCAATAAAAATAGGTTATTTCCGATTTAGCTAGTCTCGAGTTTATGATTGTCTTGTGAAAGTCATTCTGAGCCAAACATTTAGATGAGTCTAAGTTTGACAAGAAGATTTCGATATTGTTCCGATTTTAAACTGTTCTAGACTTTTTTTTAACAAAAACATTAAATGACATTAAAAGTTCAAACTTTAAGCCTCGTCAATTGTCTCAACCATTACTTAGGTTCAAAATCAGAAGAGAAACAGGGAATGTCTTTAAAATGTGCAAGATCAAGCAAAAGAATTACAGATAAGATGAAAACGCACAAAGAGTGTAGATTCAAAGCTTTGACCAGGCATCTAACTTTGAATTCTTTAAAACTCTGGAATATCGAACAGAAAAAAAATTCGATCAGCTTTTAAGAAGTTAGGTTTTTGAAAAGGAGTCCTAAATGAGCTAAATCTGTCTGAAAAACGATTTTTTTTCACTTCCGGCAGAGAAAATAGAGATTACTAAAGATACGTAAAGGTGTAATTAGACGGGGATTGGCTTTATAATAAAAAGGTTGTAAAGGTTGTAATTATTGAGATTGTTTTAAGAAATTTCTCCTTTTAATATCACTACAAACTTTTTTTGTTTCAAAACACAGGCTGTAGTGAGGATTAGAAACTGTTTAGCACACATGGAGCTCAAGTAATCTTGTAGCCGTCTGAGGAAAAGGGAAAACTTAGATTAAACCATCTATAAATCGATAAGTAACTATGCAAAAATAAATTCGAAGAACACTTACAAAATAGCCTTTCCGATTTCTGATTGCGACTACATGAATTAGGTGAATTAGGTAAATAGTTGACGTTATAAAAGAGATTCTGGTAATCATTTGTGCAATCATAGATAGTGAAAACTTCTCAAGGGAATTGCCGTTTCTTAGATTTTCGCATTCCCTTGACTCACACAATTAGAACCATTTTTTTCTGTTTTGATTGTTTCCGGGTGAATATAGAATTTTGCGAACTTACGTAGTAAAAAGTTTGAAAATTTTGAGATGGTTTATCCATCAATGAACCCCAAATGTTTGATTTACTAATGTCAGATTTGTAAATCATTAATAAACATCTAAAATTGCGGTGCCTTTTTTTCAAGAAGTTGATATACTTTTTATTTCTTTTGTTTATCAACGTTAGCTTCATTTTTGGCTTCATAAGCTTCATAGCTTCATTTGTCAGTTTAATCAACAATTTTGCCTCGTTCAACTTGCAATCCTGTAATTTTTAAGCATCTTACTGCAGTAAGACGAATTGTAGTACTATTCTCATCTCTTAGTTCAAGAAACGACTTTTTGCTCATCTTTTCTTAGCAAATAGATTGTAACGATTCTGAAATGAGGTTTTAATAAGAACTCTTCTGATTCGTATATAGCTACAGTAATTTAAGATGATCAAGCAATAATATCTCTCGCAAATTTTTGATAGGGTTGACTTCTCGAGTACATAAGCCAGTTTCCCAAGTAGTAACAAAAATAGGCTATACTTGTTAATGAATTCAGAAAATAAAGGAATATGAAAGGACAAATGACGTAAGTAAAAGGGAATGGTAGATATTGGCGATGATCTGTAAGCGGAACTTGGTTTATTCAATTTGATCCTCAAGTCAAGGAAAACACACTTAATTGATAGTCTTAATAATTAATATAATTAATAGTGTTCTTTGTTTTCTCTTATGTGCAAGATTAACGATATCAATCGATGCCTTCTCTTCCTTGTGATTTTACGCGTCAACGATTTGCTCCAATTTCGAGAAACTGAGTTTCACATGAACTGTGATTTCAAAAGGAATTTGATGTGCATTATTGACATTTTTAAAGTTCTAATTTCCTAAATTTAATTTTTCAAAGTTTGGCTACAAGTTTTAGGATGTTCATTTGCTTGCTGGCTCTGTTTTTGGTGGAAACGATTTCCAGTGAGTTTTTGCCTAACTTTTTGTTTTAAAATGGCCAAAGTGAATTTTTGAAATTTGGGCTGGGAATGCTTAAAAGCTTTGCTATCACAATTACGGTTAATTTTAGTATTGTCAGCAACAAATGAAATTGTGCACAATCAACTAGTAAGTGTTCAAAAAAAAGCAGCTCCAACTAATTTTTTCATAAATCGTATCCATTTGGCCTTGACTATTGTATGATTCCAAAAACTGGAACAATGATTACACAACAAATTCTTTGCGATATCATCAAGGATTATAAAGGAATCTCTTACAAACGGGAATTCTCGCAGAAAGTTTGGTTTCTCAAGTTAGTTTTCTTCGGGAAGATTTTGTAGAAAAGTTTTATAATGATTTTAGTGACTGTAAACTTAATGGAAATTACTTAAACATATCAGTTGTGAAATGGGAGAAACCAAATCCACCAATAAAATTTGCGATCATTCGAGAACCGATTGAACGCTTTGTCTCGTTTTATGGCCACTTTTGTAAGTGAGTTTTTAAGAGATACAAAAAAATTATCTAAGAAATACAAAAAAACAGATATTTTCTTATTAAAATTAGTTTAAAGAACTGGTTTCAGAAAGCTAGATCAATGTGAGCAACGGAACATTCACCAATTTGCTGTGTGGATTGATTTCCTAATCACAAACCATAGTGATCCCTTGTCGTGGAGTCCAACATTGATCAATCATGGTTTGCCACAGACAAGGTAACACTCAAAAAGACTTATATTATTAAAATTTTAGATTTTGTCATTTAACCTCAGATAAAAGCCTCTTATTCGTTCACTATTCTCAAAATCGGACACAAATGGAGGAAGAATTGTTGAATGTTTTTGAAAAAACAATGATTCCAAGGGAATTTGCTCAAAAAGTTCGATATTTGTCTGATTAACTAGTCCAAATACTCAAAATGATTTGTGATGAATGGATAATGAAATTTTCTAGGCTCTTCAACATCTCCATCACTCTTCAACTTATCATGCTTCGAATGACTCCGATCGCTTTGTTTTTACCGAAGCTGTTGCAAAAAACCCAAAAACTATCGCAATTTTGAGAAAACTTTACAAAGAAGATTTCATGTTTTGGAAAACTCATTTATAGCTCAAGATATAAAAATTTTCAAATCCATTTGCTCACTCACTCAGCTGTGTTCGGGAAAAAGAAGAAAGTCAACGGCTTATCAGTGTTTAACCAAATAGGTGTCAAAAAAAACTCAAAAAGGCGTATTGATCTTGCTATTTTACTGTTCTGTTGCGAAATCTTTTGTTCTTCAAATTTCAAATTTTAAATTTAACACCGTTAATTACTGAAAGTCAACTATTAGGTTGATGCATAAGTCTTTTTGTTCCTTTTCGTCTGCCGTTTCAAGCCAACAAATGCACGAATTAAACTACGGTTGATTTCATTAGAAAAACCAATTATTTTTCTGCAAAATAACATTAAAACGGGTTTAAAAATATTTTATGCCTGGATTTTCTTGAGAGTATGAAGTCGGGTAGTCAAAAAGGGCTAACTCGATGATGCGGTTTAGACACCTTAGCTAAAGAAAACCTATCTTCGTGTCAATAGATAAAAGATAGAGAAAAAAAGTTTGATATTTCGCCAAAATTTCAGAGAAATTCATTCAGCCAATTTTTCCGTAGAGTTTTTTATAGATTTTTACGAAAAATGCGTTTTTCACTCTCGAATTTGCTTGAAAGTGAACCGAAATTGATTTAAAAAGATGGAAATTGAACAAAAAAACGCTTTTTTTATAGAGCAAACTATAGATTAATTGGTGAATTTGTTACTTTTTAACAGAAGTACGAAAAAAACGAAAAGACTTATGCATCAACCTAATAAATGTGCTGACCAAATGACATGAGCATACACCAAATGACATAGACCATTGGACGCAGAATTTCACGCTGATCATAATGCTGCTTTTCTTTTTTGCTAGGGAGCACTCTGTCAAAAGTTTTAAATTTTGTAAGGGGTTAAAAAAATCAAACCACGACATTACAACCCTGTCAAAAGTTTAAAATTTTGTAAGGGGTTAAAAAAATCAAACCACGACATTACAACCCTGTCTGCTACAAACTTGGCGGTTGCAGCGGTGGCCGAGTGATAGTGAGTTAGGACGCAGGGAGAGCGCTCTGGTTCGTGTCCGGTAGCTGACTGTCTCTTTTGTAGGTTTTTTTGGTTGTTCTACGTTCTTTTATGTTGTTTTTTGTTAAAGAAAAATATTTTTGTAAAAAGCTAAACAAAAGTTCTCTAAAACGGAGACATCTCAAGGCATTTAAACCTAAAAAAAGATAACCAGCTAGAAATTAAAAGACTCGAGCCATAGCACTCTCCCTGCGTCCTAACTCACTATCACTCGACCACCGCTACAACTGCCAAGTTCGTAGCAGACAGGGTTGTAATGTCGTGGTTTGATTTTTTTAACCCCTTACAAAATTTTAAACGCGTGAAACTTTTGACAGAGTGCTCCGTAGCAAAAAAGAAAAGCAGCATTATGATCAGAGTGAAATTCTGCGTCCAATGATCTATGGCTCATGTCATTTGGCCAGCACATTTAGTTGACTTTCCCTTGTGAGCTATGAAAGACCATCCATCAATCAAGCTCATTGGTTCTGGAGGCTTTGGAAGTGTATTTCTATTGAAACAATATAATCCGTATGTTTTGAATCAGCTATAAAGCGAAACTTGCTCTGTTTTTTTATCATTTCAGACCGATGGTGATGAAAGAAAACGATCATTGCCCAAACTCTTTCGATCAACAACAAGAGCTCAAAATACTAAAGGACTTAATGCATGAAAATATTGTAAAGTACCTAGACCAACCGATTGATTTTGAATGGAAAAAGAATGGGAATCTGATATTTATGGAATATTGTGAGAAAGGGGCGTTGAAGCATGGTAGGTGCTGATTTTTAAAGCAATCTACGACTGCAAAATATTTTGTTAAACTATTCTTTGCATCATTGTGAACTGATATTTCTAAATTCTATTTTTTAGTAATCACAAACGTGCAAATCAACTATTCTATCGCTACAATTATTGCATGGGGTCGAGATATTTTCAAAGCTTTGGTTTATCTCAAGTCAAAAAATATCACTCATCGAGATATTAAAGCTGATAAGTAAGTTGATTTAAAAGCTTAGTAATTCATTTGTTTAGTATCTTTGTCACAAAAGACTTTATACTGAAAATTGGTGACTTTGGAGTGATTAAAATGATTCAATCAGCTAAAGCAACAATTCATACCTATCTGGGAACAGAATTTTACATGATGCCCGAGATTAAAAAGCGAATCGTATTGAGTGATGAGGTAAATTGATAACTAATTCGTTTTATTTGTTCTCAGAATTTCTACAAAAGTGACGTCTACGGCGCTGGTTTGGTTCTCTGGGAAGTTATCGAAAGAAAGTCATTTTGAAAGAGAAAAGCGTCGAATTTCACGATTTAGACATTTCTCAACAGAAGTGGAAACGATTTGTTTTTCTCCATCAGATTGCTTGAAAGTCGAAAAACTTCAGAACTTGATCATTTGGTTTGTGAAAAGAGAGAAAAGCAAAGAAATTATTCAGGTGTTCTTGCTCCAAAATCGACATTGAAAAACGAGCAACTGCTGTACAAGCTCTTGAGAAAATAGCTTATTTGGAAAAAGTTGGTATTAGGTTGTAAACTAAGACTTTCTTAAATTGCTAATATCTCGGCGTAGAATCAGTATATTTGAATGAAATTTTAAATGGATTATTCTCAAAAGCTCCAAAGCTTAGTGGCAAAAGAATGAAGTTATTCGGCGATTAGCGACCAAGTTATAACAAAAAATAAGATGCTACTACCCCTTTTTGTCCTTTTTTCCCACAAAATATTGGGTTGGTGAATTGAAAACGGCCGGCTATTGTCATATGTCACAGTTTGAGGACTTTCTTCAAAAGAAACCCATTTTGGGGTCAATGGAAAAGTTGTAGATAATCAAAAATTAAGCTTATATCCAAATTTTCAGAACGATTCAAAAACTGCTTTTCAAGAAATGCCAAATTTACGAATTTTCACAAAACTTGCATTTTAAGCGAAACTACTAAGTGTATCTTTTTGGAAATTTAGCTATAAGCCTAATTTTTGATTCTCTACAACTTTTCCATTGACACCAAAATGGGTTTCTTTTCAAGAAAGTGCTCAAATGCTCAAACTGGGACATCTCCAGTCCTCCATTTTTGAGTCTCACACTTGTCTCACACACAAACCAAAATCCTACTACGAAAGAGGAATCCGCAAATTGCCCGTAAAATGGGCAGAAGTCGTCAATAATAATGAAAATTTTTTGGAATAAATTTATGGTTTTATGTTGAATAAATTTTAGTTCAAAGTCCCGCAGTTTTCAATTCACCAACCCAATAGGTTAACTCAAAAATATTTAAGTAGAAATTCAGGTCAATTTTATAAATGAATGTTTCCAGAACTGTTGTATAATTCATTTAGTAAAAACTTAGGCAGAATAACGTAGTAGTTTAGGTTAAATAGCAATATCAAATTTTCAGCGATTTCACGGGATAGCTAAATAAAGCTTAGCCCTCTTGAAAAATAGAGTAAACTTTGCTAAGAGTTTTGAAACCTTTTCAGAAAGTCTCTACATTATTTTAGTTTTAAATGTAGTAGAACAAAATTTGTATCGTTTCCTCATGTGCTCGTATTTTTGAATTTAGGTAAAAACTAAAAAAATAAAAATAAAAAAACAGGAGGTAAAAAATTGCCCTGGTGCAGTCTTTTTGCTATCGCCGAATAACATTATAATTTTAAGCTTTTAGGTTTTTGAGAATAATTCGTTTAAAATTTGATTCAAATATACTGATTCTACGCTGAGATATTAGCAATTTAAGAAAGGGTCAAGACTTAGTTTACAACCTAATAAAAGGATTCTTTTGCTTTTTTTGCCAACCTTAGCTTCAACTCAGAACCAGCTTTTAGATCTTTGCTCATTGTGATTATTTGGTGCCTCCAGAAATTCGGAGAAACCAAATTTGGTTGAGAAAACCAGAAGGATTAAAGCTAGCCAGAAAAGAAGAAGAATCATCAATTCTACCTCCAGATGTAGTGTTGGACGGTTCTATAAGCAAAGGATCGGTTGATCTAGAGTCGTTCAGCAAGAATCCAGCGATCCCTTTCAATGATGATCCAGACTATTTATTCTTTCAATTTGAAATACTATCAAAAATCAAGAAGAGCACTGAATTCCGGAACTTTTCGTTTCAACAATTGGAGCCTCAAACAATTGGAGCCAATTGGAGGACTAGATTTGAAGCTCGCTCAACGGAGGACTGTAGTGTGAATGAGTTCAGAGGAAAGTTAAGTAAAGAGATTTTGGAAACAATCCCATTAAATGAACGAGAGCTTATAAAAGAAATGCTGGCAATATTTAAAAGATACTCAAAAGAGATTGGTATAATGGTAGCAGCATTGACGGTGATCCCTTTAACTATGAAAAACGAGAAGATCTATCTGATCAATTACTCACTTGGCTGAGACAATTTGCTTCACTCCTTGCTTTTGATTTCACTCTACAATATTTTTGCCTCAAGTTTAGCATTCACACTTTGCATATTTGTGAGACAAGTGCAATCACATCGATCGAATTATTAGATCTTTTAGATCTCTCAATCCACAATATTGAAGAAATGGAACACATTTTCTCGAGAAGACCAAAATTTATGTTATTTTATTTGAATGACTCAAAATATGAATGGTGCAGGGGATTCAATTTTATCGTAAGAAAAGATCTCGGGGAAATGCGATCTGAAGAGCGACGATTCGTTGGTTCGGTGAGGGATCGGAATTCGGAGTATGTTTATGCAATTTTTGATCTCGAAATGATCCGAAGAATTCTCAACGAGAAAAAGGATATGGTCATAAGACATTCAAATACAAAAAAGAATAAGAAGAAAATCAATGCAGATCCTTTGAAAGAATTTTGCAATGTTTTGTTCAAGAGTCCGATGATTGGAAGCATTTCTCGAGCTCTTAAAAAAGAGTTAAAGGATCTCCCGAAAGAAAGTCAAGGCTTTAAAGAGCTAATCACCAATGAGAAAACAGATTGCCGATTTCCCAAAACGATCTATTTTTTTGATTCAATACCAAAGGATATAATTTTCTCGACATGCAATTGTTCTCCAGTTTGTCCCACTAAAAATTTCTTGAAGAGTTTTCTTAATGAAGAAGAGCAAATCACATATTCAGAGTGCAGTAAATTGAATCATCGAGAATTTCTTGAAACACACTTTCTTTTCGAAAGAGCTTTTCGATTGATTTATGATTGGGAGAATCTCATTCTTTGTCATAGTGTTCATTTATATTTAGTGGAGAAACTTTTATCCGAAATTGAGAAAAAGCTCGATCCATCATTTGGTTTTTACTTTATTTGCTTGAAAGAAAAAGCAAAATCAGTTGAAACGTTGCGTCTACTTAAACGAGATGATGATGCTGACAGTAATCGATCGTTGAAAGATGGAATTGTCATTGGATTAGATATCAATGATAAGTTCTCTTTTCTGGATAAAACTTTTTGGTTTCCGCCAGAAGATGGTTATTACTTATGGACATACGTCGGTTTTACTTACATTAGTCTTTTCGAACTTGGAGTTATTTTACACATTATGGCAAAGTTTTTACGAAGTTCAGAGACAGGTAAACAGATAATTACCCTTTCTTGAAATCGTTAATTCATTTTTATTTGTAAGAACTAATAGAGTTAGTTTCAGCATCTGATTGGGGTTGGAAGCAAGATCACAAACGGACTTATTTGGCAGAAATGAAAATGGCGATCGATGGCTTTTGGGAGAATCGCAAAATTGTTGCCCGATCTAGGGAAGAGAAAGATTTTTTTCCTAGTACACATGAAAAAATCATGTAGCATCAATACATTATTCTTTTCTTCTTCTTCTTCTTCTTTCTTCTTCTTCTTCTTCATCAGCTTTGATAAAGTGATTTTATTGACAAGCAAATCAAGGACTTGAAATTTTCAAATTTCAAAAGTTATTTTAGTGTTGTGCAGTTCGTTTTTAATTATTAGATAGTTCAAAAAATACAAACTCGTGCGTCAAACTCAATATTCACAACCAGATTCATTCCAAAAATTGTCTAAGCAATTTGGGCACGGTAATATCGGAATCTTGAAAGGCAAAGCTTAATGTGCAAAATAATGCACCAAAAAGGAACTTGGCAAAAAATCAACTAAGTGTAGCTGTGACTGAGACGATAAAAGTTGATTAGAACGACCGCTGATGGGACTACAACGCTCGAGTCAACTGGCATCTCGTGAAGCTCGAATGTAATCACACAGTATCACACAGAAGCTTTGATTTCATAGTAAGGAATGGCAAAGAAAGATTTCCGGAGAGTGGATTGAACCTTTTTGCTTTCTGGGTAGATGCTCTAACCACTGAGCTATCCGGTATCTTCTTGCCGGAAATTAATGAATCGAGTCTTGCAACTATGAACCATACATCGTGGTGTGCATAAAAATTTCCATCTATTGATTTATTGTCAAATACAGGAAAGGCTTAGCGGCCAGTGTTCACACAAACATAATTCCCATCGCTTCCCATTTGGCAATCTTCATAGAAATTGCATTTGCCATAGTTTGATTTCTCGCAATGAATCTGATTGTTAAAGTGTCTTTTAGTTAATTTTTAAAAACTCTATTTTATCTTTTAGACAACCAACCGTAGTACAGCCCCACTTGTTTGGGTCATTCAAATTGCGGACACAACCGGCCCCGGTTCCTTGGTCACAAGTCCCCTTTTGAGTTCCGCATTTAGGAATCTAATTGTAAGAATTGAACTATAAAATGCTTTTCAAAAGTTTTGTTGATTAACTGGAAAATCAAAAAGTTTCTTCCAACGGAAACAGAGAAAAGGCTAGAATAGTATTGTCGCTGGCTTTTTATAGAGCTTTTGATGTGTTTAGAATTTATTTGCGAATATGACGAATTGCTCAAACGATTGTTTTAGATAAGCACGTGTTCAACCAACGCTCACAGTAGTAGATTTTCGCTTTTGTTTCCATTGTTTGTTGAATACAATAACGACACAACTAAACACGAATTTCTTGCTGATTTCTTAGGATAGAAATACCTCAATATGCAGTGTAGCACAAAAGGATAAACTTCTAATGACAAGAAATCTTTTCCAGGCAATATTGCCAGTTGCAAGACTCGATTCATTAACAAGTTGCCAACGAGGAAACAGATTGTAATCGAGTGAGTGATCACAACCTGGTAATATTATGATGAAGTCAATCTTTGCCAAGAATGACATTGAAATTGATTAGTCTGGGTTATCTTGCTATCATTGCTTTACCAATCAAACCCACCATAATCATCAATCGTAGATCAGATCGACTTTTGAAACCAGACTCCGAACCGCGGGACTAAAATTGTGATTCTGTACTGATTCACAAAACTCACAATTTTCCAGACTTTTCGTAGAGTCAGCAAGTCAATTGCAATTGTGATTCCCAAAAGTGTGTACATGATTTGGTCCAAATGATTGATCAAAAAGAGAGCTACTGAATCTCTTCCATGAGCCAAGAATATCTGCAGATACGTGGGGACAAAATACCATCCACCATAACAGAGATAGGCATCAAGAGTACTAGCTACTAAAATAAGTTGTTATCTAGAGAAATCAATGAAAACTAGAATTCACTAGCTCTTCTAGGAGAGATTTTGTTTGTTAACAGGGATGTTCCAGCCGGAGCCAGGGTCTGTAGGCCAAGCCAGGTCAGGCAGGACAGGAGAAGAAGCCAGATCTAGGCCTGGCTTCTGAACTGGCCTGGCCTTGTCTAGCCTTGTCCTGGCCTTGTCTGACTTAGCCTGACCCGAAAAGCTACAAATAACTCTTAGAACACCGTGATTCTTAGCCACTTACCATTTTTGACTTCATAGCAATAAATAACAATTGGTATTGTGAAGAGAAAGACAATTTGTGGAAGTGTATACTTTTCTACTTTTCGATAGTAGAGTCCATCAAAGAACACGGCAGACACTCTGTTCACCGACAGCCCACTTCCAAGCGTTTGCATTGAATAATTCATTCCCAAATTCAGCGCATTCACAAACATGTTAATCGTGAGGCCAGAGATTAGAAAACCGTCACGACTCAAACATTGCCAGCTAGGGAAAATTTGGTGTTGCATCAAATTGAACCATATTGGAACCTACTTAAGCACACAATAGGCCTTGTAAAAGTAGGTCCAAGACTCGTTAAGCCTGCAAAAGCAGTCAACCCATAGTCAACCCATAGATATAATCGGACACCTTTCGACAAATTGTAATTCTTCCAAATCATTCTTATGCAGAAAATATTGAGGGAAAGACCAAAAATCCCGGACTGAACATTGGTAATTATCTTTTTTGTCGAAACTCACCAAAATCATCGATAAAAATATCGTCATATCGTCATGATTAGGCATTTGATTCCATTGATAGGCAAGAATTATATCATTAAAATAAACACCGGCTACTTGATTCGACATAAGACATGGCTGAATGTTAGCAGAAACGTATTCGTAATCTGAATTTGCTGCTGGCATTGTTGAATTCGTTTTCCATATTTGAATTGGCATACTATTGTTGAAGTGGGCAATACTCGTTGTATTGATAAGCTTTGGACTGCTTGTTTCATTCAGATGAAGTGGTTGAGAAATGTTCGGAATACCGGTGTTCGATATGTTGCACATGAAACAAGTGGTGTTAATGATGTGGCGAGGATTAGTTGTGTTGATCTTCATATTGTTAGTGGTACTCAAACTTGCTCAAATAGTTGTGCCAGTAGAAATGTTAGCTTTATGGCCTTTACAATTGAAATAATTCGCGAAAAAGTGTTAGCTTTCATTTTTGAATGTGAAAAGGACAATTTGCTTTTTGACAACCAAAAAAGGCAAAATCCAAGAAAGCAATAATGAACCAAATTGAAATTGTTTTCGAAAACAAGACACTTTCGGAGTTAATAAATTTACGCGAAATGTTGAACGATCTTTTTCAATTCTGGGTCTTTGATTGAGCTTTCAGTTTTGTTTTGAGTTGTACAGGTAGTGGAAAAGATTAAGTTTAATCTCATGACACTCTCATTTAAATATTCTAAAACTTTATCCAATTGCAAGTCTAGTTTTTATGGATAAAACTATTTTTAGTTTTAATTATTTGCATTTTCGTTTAAGGACTTTGTGCATCACTTCCGAGCTGAAAGAAATGAACAAAATAACGGCAAAAACGAGAAGAAGAGTCATTCTTTGAACAAAAAGTGTTTTCCCGGCAAACTACGAAACTCTTATAGTTAACAATCAAAACAATCAAATAAATGCCTAACGGCAGTTTTTTCAGCTGAGAATTTGATAAAGCTGCAAAACACTGACCGCAACATTAGCTCCAAATGCTCCAATTTAGAGCGTTATCATGGATTTGGACGATTCTGTTGTATTCTTTTTCGTGCAACAATTTCTTTGGGTATTTTCATCATCATTTATTCAATAGTACGGGTGTGCATCGTGAAGCTTGACAGGTAGAAAAGAGATTAGCTTTCTGAATTTAATCCGTTTGTTCTTAACTAATGCAAATCAAACACCAAAGTTGATCAATTTAGTTTGAACGTCAATGAGCTTACAAACGGAACCAACAGTACCAATAGCAAACTTTGGTAATCACATTTGAAATGATGAAATTAAATTAAATGGAATCTAAGTAATGATCTTGAACGTTAATTTATTTTACTTGAAATAGTTTAAGTGCTGTTTTCCTCTTTCAATGGATTTATAGGTTTCTAGAAAGCTTTACTGTTCTGATGTTTAGAAGCTTGCTTCACCGTTGTTTATGAAAGCTGTGATGCATGAATGTTTATTACTTTAGGCACATAGCATTGAATCCAATAAATGACTCATTAGTAATCACAAAAGCCAAATTTTGCATAAAGTTTTCCGCGAAAAGAATTGAAGAACCTACTATATATAAAGGACTGAGACGTCCGTCTGTCTGCCTGTCTGTCTGTCCGTCTGTCCGTCCGTCTGTCTGCCTGTCTGTCTGTCCGTCTGTCTGTCCGTCTGTCTGTCCGTCTGTCTGTCTGTCCGCCTGTCTGTCCGTCTGTCTGTCCGTCCGTCTGTCTGTCCGTCTGTCTGTCCGTCTGTCTGTCCGTCTGTCTGTCCGTCTGTCTGTCCGTCTGTCTGTCCGTCTGTCTGTCCGTCTGTCTGTCCGTCTGTCTGTCCGTCTGTCTGTCCGTCTGTCTGTCCGTCTGTCTGTCCGTCTGTCTGTCCGTCTGTCTGTCCGTCTGTCTGTCTTTGCGCGTTACTCCTCAGTTCCCAGAGGACCGTTTGCAATGATTTTTGCGCCGTTGAGTGGGGATTACATGTAGTTGTGCAATGTGCTTTTGAATTTTTTAAAAAGGGCAATTTGAGTCGCACGGGGAGGTCGAACCCGGATGGTATGGGCGATAGACTGGCGCGCTGTTCACTGCTTCACAGCGACAAAAACGGTCCATCCCCAAATCCCAAACTCGAAAAAAAACCCGCCGTTATTTCTCGGCTGGTTTATCATAAAAGGATCCCATCATTATCCACTTTCCGAGAGTTCTCGAATCTTATCCAGAACGTTTTTTTGGCTAGGAACGATGACTTGCACATTCTTAGCTGTTACAAGTTTCCGTTTGAACATTTCCAGAACTTTATAAATCATCGATAATTCTTTTGATTTACAACATCTCCTCATGAAAACGCCAAAGCTCAAGTTTTCTTGTTTCTGTGTTAAAACTTTCCTGATCGACTTCTCGAAAAGTTTGCCTTTTTTAAAATCAAGCAAGACCATTTTTGCTGATGATTCTTGTTGCAACTTCTTGCAATACCTCAAAGCGGATGGTTAGTCAGAATTTCAAAAAAAATACACGTGTTTCTTACCATTTCTTTCACACATTTGAGCTTCATAGAGAACTCGAAGAATGATACCGTATTTTCTCTAATAGTAGTGCACCCCGGCGAGCCGAGTTGGCGACGATTTTACGGTTCCCAAGCTTTTGCAGAAGCTCAACACTCTAATCCCCCACTAGATCTCATCGTCGGCTACATTTTGCGACCCCACATCGATAGGTTCTGATAAGCGGTTCTCGAGATTTCGAGCAATTTAGGCGACGCTCAGGGTGCACTACTATAGAGAAAATACGGTATATGAAAATGGTCAAGAATTGGATAATTTCTCGCATTTTTGGGATATCGTAAAAAATCCTATAAAATCCTAAAATCCTATCCTAACCTATCCACCCAATGAACCAATCTGACACCTTAACTCGTTCGATTTTTGACTCTAATTCACCCTGTTTTCAACTCCAAATTCTCATGAGATTTCATTCTTTTGAAAAAATTTGCTAGAATTCTTGAGCAAATGACTAGGATTTGATGGATTGGGTTTATAGGTAAAATTCAGTGGATTTCCTACTTGAAACTATTAGGTTGGCAACTTAATAATGACGCGTTTATGTAACAAATCATTTATTTCAAAAAAACACAAAAGAAGAGCTTTCAATTCGAAAGGTATTCTCCATTAGTATCTATGACTTCTTCCCATCTTCTGCGCAAATCCCGGATCCCATCCTCGAAGAACTTGGGAGTTTTTGAGGCGAAGTAGTCACTAACTGCTTTTATGACCTGAGCATGATCATCGAACTTTTCTCCCTCCAAAAAGTGCTTCAGCGACCGAAACAAAAAGTAATCTGAAGGAGCCAGATCAGGTGAATAAGACGCGTGGGGCAAAACTTTCCAGCCAAGTTCCTCGATTTTCTTATAAGTGATCTTTGCAGTGTGAGGTTTTGCGTTGTCGTGTAAAAATCTGACTCTCTCCGGTTTGAGCCCCAATTTCTTCAAAGACTCGTTAACTCTCATTAATTGCTTCGAATAAAGATCAGCACCGACGGTTTGGCCAGGTTTCAGCACTTCATAATGCACCAATCCCTTGAAGTTCCACCAGCAACAGAGCATTATCTTCTTCCCATGGATATCAGGTTTGGGAGTGGTTTAAGGGGTCTGCCCAGCAGATAGCCATTGATTTTTGCGTTTAACGTTCTCGTAGTTGATCCACATTTCGTCAGAAGTCAAAACCCTGTGAAAAAAGTCGTTTGATTTACATTTTTGTAGCAAAATTGAGGCGACATTTTGTTGCTTTGGGTCAGTTCGTGAGGAACCCATTTTCCAACTCGATTCTTTTCCCAAGTTTGTGTAAATAGTTTTCGATTGTCATATTGGATACTTCAAATATTTCTGCCAACTCACGAACGGTGAGTGTTGGGCAGTCTTCAATTAAGGCGAGCAAGTCATCGTCGACCACTTCTGGAGGATGTCCTTGGTGTGGCTCGTCTACGAGGCTTCCATCGCCGCCTTGGAATCTTTGAAACCATCGTTGACATTGCCGAATGTGTATACTTTCCTCCCCAAAAACAGTGGTGATCGTGCGATGAGATTCAGCTGGTGATTTTCCTTGTTTAAAATCGTAGAACAATGAAGCTCGAATACGGAATTTTTTGTCCTCCATTTTTTGCCAAAAAGCAAATGTTGAAATTTGGAGCACTAAATGTTATTTATGTAGACATCTTTTACTTTGTATATATGCAAAAAAGAGGGAAGAAACGGCGCTTGAAATTACAAAAAACATGTTAAGTAGTGAGGCGTCATTATTAAGTTGCCAACCTAATACATTTGTGATCATCGAGATCCCAATATCTTTGCAACAATTCCTCTCCATACCATTAACTTATCAGAAAATCGTTGTTACGTAAAGTTTCGTATTCTTGAAAGTAAATATTAATTATATTTGCATCCAAAAGGAATTGAATATAGATTTTGCAAATATTTTTATTGGGGAAAAGCTCGTAGACAAGTAAACGATGTTTCATCGATTTGTTGACAATATAGTTTTGAATTATATCGACAAGTTCTAACTTTGTCAAGGCTTTCTTTTTTCTTTTTCTTTTTCTTCATCAGGGAACTAGTTGAATGGAATGGGTTCCAAGTAAAAATCACAATAAAACAGAAAAAGAAATTTGTTTGATGCTTTAGATAAACTCGAGCAATTGCCCAAAAAAGAGAAATGTTAGCACAATAAAGCGGTACGTTGTCGGGCATGAAGTGATGGTTGATAAATTTTTGTATTAGACTTTAACTTTCTACAGTACCTAGTTTTTGTTTTAATTCTGCCGACCCTGTGGACAAGTCCTTGGGATCAATCAAAAATTCATGGTGGGGTCCTGCATTTACGGCACTTGGGATCCAAGATTGGCCAGCAGAGCAGGCTCATGAATGCTAAAGCAAAACTGGCTGATTAACACTCTGCTTTTCGGGGTTGTACTTATAAATGGCTTATAAGTGGCTTATAAATGGATTAGCTACAGGACCGACTCATAGGGACCTAATTGAAGCGACTTTGAATTGAAGCGACTTTGAATTGAAGCGACTTTGAATTGAAGCGACTTTGAATTGAAGCGACTTTGAATTGAAGCGATTAAGAGCCGGATGGCTCTTATGGGGAAGACGTTGGCCAGATCACGAGCGCTTACGCGAATACACGAAGAACAGCTTGCATACGCTTTACACAGGGCTTTCTTTTACTCTGTAAAGCTGTCCAATGGAGGTTTAAGCTAAAAATTTGCTCTAGAGGGTGAGAGTTGATTGGTCGTGTTCATTTTATCGTATCCCATGTCGTATGTCGTCTTTCGCAAAAATGTTTACTTGCTTTCCATCACCTTGCATCGACAGGTTAATAAGTTCTGCATTGGATACAATGTGTGTTTGGCAAGTTTTTTTCTTTTGATCAATGCTGAACTTTTGGTCAAAAGGATCATTCACGAAAAAAAATCGGAAAGTGAAATCATAGATATTGGAATTGTCACGATGTGATGATGGATTGCTTTGCTTTTCGATTATTTGAAAAGACTAGACTGTCGTAATTGCTAGAGAAGGCGATAAACTCCAATGAAGTTTTTGGCTAGGAAGAAATGATTGATTTCAATCGAAAAGTATTGAAACTGGTGTTTTGATCGATGATCTTTTAATAAGTTAAATAAAATATACAACACTTACAAGTTTTGCAAGATATAAACGCAGACACAGACAAGGTATTTTGATCCGATAGTTTGGTAATCTTTTGGTTTTTCAATCCGTTTCTCAACTCTTTATCTGGAAGTTTTCAAAAACAAATCAAAGGTAACACTTTGAACTTGAAAAACTTAATAGAAACTCTTATATATCCAAAACAAGATATAAACTAAACTAACTCAAGTTTGAATATAATTTTAAAAGTTCAAAAAAGATGCAGAGTGACTGTTGATGAGCTGCTTAGCCTTGAGTGAAACATTATCTTACAAGTGACTGAAAATTTGTCAATCTAAGGTTTAGGAGTGATTTTCAGGGAAAAAGAAACCAAAGTTATCTTGCTATTATCACAGATAATAGCAAGATCAACCATTTCAGAGAAAGGACTCCGGGACAAACGAAGAAAGCGGAAGAGCTCAGAAAAGGTTGGATTAGAAGGTATTGAAAAACAATTTTACATTTAACTATAAGGTTTAAAAACTGATTGCAAAGTTTCCAAGTGGACTCAATCATTTCAGGGAACAAACGGGACAAACGCTTCTTAGACGAAAACAATGGAAGAGCTGAATCTGGAATCGAACCCTATGGTAAGAGACTCTTCAACTAGGCCTTGAGCCTGTAAATATCATTGTTTTGTTTTGCTTTTAGTTTAAACTTAAATTTTAAACATTCAGGAGAATCCATGAGAGCCAAACGTTTCCTGGACGAGCACAACAGAAGAGCTCAACGCCGTGTTGACTTGAGCTACAACTAAAATGCCACATCTCATGAACAACATTAGCAAATAGATCAAATATTTTTCGATAAATGTTTTGATATTCAGTTTTGATATTCAGTTTTGATTTCAGTTTTGATTTCAGTTTTGATTTTTCAGTTGTGATTTTATACCGTTGGATATGCATTTAAATCTAAAATTTTGCAGAAACTTGGCAATAAGTTCTACATTGTGCGTCTAGCAATTATTAAGCTTTTCTTATCCTTTGATCAATTATAAACTTTTGATTAAAAGAATAATACGTGAAAAAATTGAAAGGTGAAATCGTAGATATTGGAATTGTCACAATGTGATGATGGATTGCGTTTGCTTTTCGATCATTTGACCGTCGCTAGAGAAAGAAAGAGAAACTGTGGTAAGCAAGGACGAGCGTATGCTTTGATCGAGCAATTTTTAGCAAATTCTATAGTTTAGATTAATCGAAAAATACAGTTTAACAGATAAAGACAAAGAATCATTTAACAAATCCGGTAACTCTGGTAATTTTGACTGGCTGTTCAATCTGTTTCTCAACTCATATCTGGCAATTTCCATGAAAAAGTAAAGGCAAAAATAAGCTACCAATCTAAAACTAAAGCTTCATCCAAACATAGAACGAAAGTGAACTAGTTGGATATAACCAGGACTGGTTCTCAAAGCCATAAGCCATAATCTGGCCTGGCCTGAAATAGCCTGATTATGAGTTTGATCTGGCCTAAAACTTGGTCTTAAATCTAACCGGAGGGTATACAAAAGAACGCTGGATATCCGAAACAAGAAAAAGACCGTTGAATTGCTGCACTTTTTGTGCTAAATAGGTAGAATGGGTAAAATATGATCATAAGAGACTGTTAGTGGCTCGTTTTTGTGTCTACAGTAGCTCTCGAATGATACTCACCCGCCCACAGGCTTTGTTCATGCCATTACAAAGCCCCAAGGTGAACGATGGCAAAAGCTTTGACTAGTTTGACCCAAGAATTTTTTCTAAAACAATGATTTGACTGATCGGGTGTCAGATTTTGTCATTTGTTTCCTCTTAATCTTTTGTCAGGGACCAGAATTGTAAATCTTGACCTTGTGTTTTTAGATGAACTTCTACAGAACAATAGCCAAAGTAAACCTTAGTATAAAAGGAATTCCCAATGCAGTAATAAAGACATCTTAACATGAAGACTTCTCAATTCTTTGTGATTTTCTTCGTACTTTATATTTTGGAATCCAGTAAGTTCTAGTACTCAATGAGTTAATCAATTCAAATTCTAGGGATAACTTCAAGTGCCGGGATCGATGCCTTGGTGAGATTCTTCTGTAAAATTATCCTGTAAAAAATGACAAACTTCAGGAAAACTATCAACTTGGGCTTCAATTTTGTCCGATTCCCAAAACTGGTTCGACAATCACGCACACAATGCTTTGTGACATTCACAGAGAATACCGGGGAATCTTCTTTGAAAGGAAATATTCAAGCGATCTCGGTGGAGACAAGTGAGTTATTGGTTTTGTTCGGCAATACCGTAAGACTTGCAGTTAGCATTGAAATTTAGTGATTGCAAATTGAATGACTGGTACCCAGAGCATCACAAAGCATTTTGGGCAAAGCGAAAAGTGCCACTGAAGTTCACTATAGTAAGAGATCCCATTGATCGATTTGTTTCATTGTACGGAAGCGCTTGCGAGTGAGTTTTAAGAGAAAAACCTTAAATGACAGCTTTCAAATTTTAGCCAACTCAAAATGTGTAAAGATCGTGATATTCACGAGTTTGCTCATTGGGTGAACAATATGCGGAAACAAAGGGGTGCTGCTGCTCGCAAGATAAGAGATGGAGAGGGACATGAGCTGTATCGATGGATCTTCTATCACGCTCTTCCACAAACAAGGTACGAACATAACCTTTTACAATTTACAGATAAAGTTTAGCTTTTGCAATCTGGTAGCTGATCGTGAAAGGTTTACAATAATTCGCTACAGCACTGATAAGCAGGCGATGTATGCGGATTTTCAGAAGTTGTTTAGTCGGGCTGGGATTCCGGAAAGGGTTTCAGAGAGGGTATGTGGTTCAAAAGTTAAGAAATAAGTTGATAAGTAATGAGCCTAATCAAACATTGTTTATCTTCGACTCTGATAAATATCATGGCTGATATCAAGAGCCAAAAGCTCAGAGTGAGATTCTTCTCTTTTATACCCATTTTTATAAAAAAACATGTGGGATCCGCCCATTCAACGCGTGGCGTTTGGTTTATGATTAATGTATGAAAGTCTTGTCCGCTTTAAAGTCCGCAAGTCTTGTCCGCTTGTCCGCTTTAAAGCTTACTTTTAGAAATGAATAATGAACAAATCGATCTATATTTTGTTTTATCAGAAACTCCCATTATTTATTGACAAATTGCTCTTTAAGAAATTCTTAAAAGCTGGCGTTAGTTCATTTTTTAAAGATGTGAAGTCAAGCAGTCAAAAACGAGAATAAACCACTCAATCTATGGTTTGTTTTATCAGAAATTTCCGATTTGAGCACTTTCCATCAGAGAAATCTATTTTGATGTTAAAAAATAGATAGAGAATAAAAAGTTATGGACAGATAGACAAATTTTAATAACATTTCACCAAGCCGTTTTTGTTCTATGTGAGGATTTTAGGAAAAACAAGAATTCTCATTCGGATTTGTTTCAAAGAATTCCCGAAGTCCCGTTCGGATTTGCTCAAATTTGCCTAAAAATGAGCTAAAGAAAATAGTTAATCTTTTTTATTTAAAGCAAATCAGACATTGATCAGCTAATTATTCATTTCTAAATCAAAATTTCAAAAAAACGGACAAGCCTTCCGGCCAAACCAATATAAGATCTAGAGATGTAAGAATCATTTACATAGCTTGATTATTTACCTTTAGGAACCACATTCTCGTAGCTTGATAACCACCCGTGTACACTTGAAAAATTTCAGGCTCTTCTTCATTTAAGCAAATCCAATACTTGGCATGCTTCATCCAACTCATCTCGAGCCGATGAACTAAAGGAAGCAATCTTGCAAAATGCAACAACTAACCAATTAATTCGAAATATCTATCAAGCGGATTATCAATATTTAGGTTTTGAGTAATTTATGTCTTCTTTCATATCGTATTTATTTGATTTATGAAATTTCCAGAAATAAACCATTTTCTTTAGTGTTTGTACAGAACTGCTAGTTTGTACAGAAAAATGTGCTTATCTTTTGAGTTTTTCTGAATCAAACCTCGCAATTGACAATTTGTGTTTCGCCCTTTCGATCCACACGTCTTTCTTCAAAGACAAAGGATAAGTTCGTGAGAAGAAAATACCTTTCACTCATACAAACCCTGAGTGTACCTGAGCCTGAGTGTACACTATTACATGGGATCATCCATCTTCACGATATTTTGGTTTTCATACCCGTCTTGGGAAAGCCAAAAGATGATGGATAGTCATCATCTTTTTCTCATCAAAGCAAGCAAAAAGCGCAAAAGTTTAGCACCAAATGCACCGAGGCATTTTTGGCAATGATTATACGGTTCCAATCCATCTTCGAACAATTTAGACAAAAAAACATCAACGTCTTAGGACTGGAAAAGCTAAAAGTTCGAACTGTCAGCGATCTTTCTTTGGCTTCTCTGAAGTTTTTGTTTAACTGTTTTGCTTTTATTACGATCTCAGAAAAGCTTTCGAAAAACATGATACAATCTCTGTATAACGGAACTCTATTTAGCGGAAAACTCTATATTACGGAATGGAATTTTGATCCCGGCCGACGCTAAGCTAGATATAACGGCACTCTATAACGCAAAATTTTTTTAGTCTCTTCCATTCCGTTATAGAGAGAGTCGACTGTATCTAATTTGCTCGCGGAACACTTGTGGCCATTTTGATTTTTGGATATGGGCTTTTGAATAAAATTTCAAGTTTTAATCAACTATTGTCAAAATTTTATTTGCAGAAATGCTTAAATCGTTTTTCTTGTGACCGTTTTTGTGCTAATTGTAGAAACCATTGTTCCCTGACTTTGTTTCTGCGGTAAATTGAATAGAATGGTGACCAAGCTGAAAATGAAACAACAATATTAAAAGAAATTTGGTACATGTGCTTCTTTGTATTGGGTTGTCCAGTTATGAATGCGCGTTTTTTACTATTTTGTAAATTTCTCAAGATACCGAAATCAAGAAAAAGATATATATGAATATTATTCGAAAGCTGAAGATCTCCTCTACATTTTGATATAAAACGTTTTTGAATTTGTCCAGCTTTTGGGAAAATTGACTGCACAGAAGAAGAGGTGACCAAAAAATGGAAGGGTGCCTTTGGATCAAGTTTTGGCTCCGCTCAAATTGAGTTAACCGTTTGATGTTTGGCCAATAGATATATCAATACAGCATTTTTTAAAATATAACAATTTCAGAGCATCTTTTCTTTTCTTTTCTTTTCTGGGCGGTTATTTTACACCATAAAACTTGAGGAATAGCTAAGCTGAAATGAGTTTTTTTTGAAAACGACCTTTGTGTAGTCAATTTGCCCAAAAGCTGAACAAATTCCAAAGCTTTTTATATCAAATGTAGAGGAGATCTTCAGCTTTTGAATGATATATAACACTCATATACATCTGTTCGATATCTTGAGAGATTTGCAAAATAGTAAAAACGCGCATTCATAACTGGACAACCCAATAACTAGATTCATTGTTCTAACCTCGTCAAAGTGCATCCAAAGAAATGAATTCCCTCCCAGAAAAAGAAGGCTCGAATAGGAATGTCATCAAGGAAATCCTCGGCAACACTCCCAAGTAAATTCGCATCAAAAAGATTGGTTATTGTCCAGATAAAATTCGTTAACACAGTCTAAAAGAATTTGCTGTATAATCTGATGTTTTCAACTGCATTTTACTGTTTTCGTTTGATTCAAAATGCCTAAAATTGTCTCAAAAGTGACGAAGTTAGCAACAACTTTTCTTACACAAGTTCTTAAACAACTCAAGTTCTCAAAAAGCTTAAAATTATGTAAAAAATGTACCATGATTGTGAGTTTAATGAGCAGTTTTCCCTTTCGATCGTTGGAGTCTTGATTCTAAATCAACAGCTGTAATTTGAAATTTTGAAAAGGAAAAAGTAAGTTCCAGCTTAACCAATGATAACAAAAGTTCTCTACACCCACCAGTTTTCGTATTTTCCAAAGTAAAAATAAATCAGCTATAAAAGCGATTGCAATAAAGCCAACTGGTATAAATTGAAGAATTGGATCCAAAGTGTATAAGAAACGAGAACCAGTGAAATTTATGATTCTACCGAGATCAAGTGGGGAGAAAAAATAGCCTCCATAGCAGATATATCCTGTAGATTGTTGGATCACTGAAACACATTATATGGAAGCAAGATTTAGGTTTTGTTTAATTAATCACAGCATTAATTCAACTCACATCTCGCGATCTGTATTAATTTCATCGCTGTTGTGTAAGTGAAAACAAAGGTACAATAAGGTACAATGATTTTTTCAATTCTTTTGTAAAATCTTCCATCAAAGTAGACCGCAAAGATTCTGAAAAATTAGTAAACGTAGTGAAATTTGGTGAACGAATATCGTTTAATACCGAATGATTGAAAATCCATTATTGGTCATTCCCGATTTGTCGCTGAAGAGAGCTGTGAGAATTTGATTGATAAGAATGCCAGAGAGAAAGCCATCTGTTTTCACGCAACTCCATCTAAAACGATTGAAATAGGTGATTCTGATTCGAAACTGTACTGAGACATTATGGTATGTTGAGACTAAAGAAAGATAACACTTTCAAGAGAATAAACAATCAAACTAGGTAAAGTGTCTTGAATCAAGCCAAAGCTGAATCAATTTTATGTCTAACTCACGTAAGTACACACGAAGCTTGATAAAAATCATTGATAGCATATCCAATTTTGCAGCATTCATCAAAAATGCAAATAAACCTTGTGTTTTTCGATAGACTTGAGTTTCTCTTAAGCAAAAATATCGAGCAACAACTTAAAAAAGTGATTAGACATCCGACCTAAAGGGCAATTGATTGGTTGAACAATAAACAGACCAAAATAAAAAGTGTGACCACTGTAGTTTCGTATTTATTGTTGAGATTTGTGTGTATGGGGAGTCCGTTCCATTTGTAAGCCAACTTTTTGTTCATCAGTGCCATCATGAGGCCTTTGTTCTGAAAATAAGCTAAACTTAAACGTTGAAACCTTGCTTAACTTCATTCACTCTTAAATTTTATTTAGACTAGTAAGTTTACCCAGGATATCAGGAGATTTGATAATTTTGGTTTTGGATGATTTTGATGATTCAAAACTGAGAATCAATTCTTTAACACAACTTTTCCTAGCTTCTGATGACGGATGGTAGTTTTAGAATTGTTAAAAGAAAAAGAGTCGTTATTATAATACAAAGAGGGTTATTCGCAATGATGCAATGACAAAGAAAAGCAAAGAAATACCTGTGGATTTCACGGAAACAATTTGCATAAAAGTTAAAGTACTACAGCTCAACCAATGCTACCTGTTCCACGCAATTCGTCGGATTGCTCTTGTTCGGATTGTTAAGAACTTCTTCATAATATTCATCATAATCATCAATAAAATAGTAATAGTAATAATAAAGATTTCCATAAACATCTTTAATCTTTTGTTTAATAAAATCTTTTTTCGTTTTGTTATGCATTTGTGAGATCAGCTTAAAATAATCCAAATGAAATTACCTAGTTTACAGGGGAACTTTGAATACTTCAAATTACAGAGTTACATTTAGAATCCAACAATTATTTAAAAACACAGGTTACAAAATTACCCAAATTATCACAAATTTTTGAGTACGCTGAGTTCGCAGCAAAAAAAGCGAATTCTAGAACTTTTCAAAAAGTTTCAAAGCTTTCCGAGCTCAGAGTTTTCTCAAACGAAATTCTTAGTAGGACAATTGCAAAGTCATTTTTTATTCTCTCAATTCATCAAATCTCTCAAAACAATCAAGAAAAATAAAACAAAATACGGTATTGGGATATTATCGATGAATTGCATAAGTCACCCGTACAACGGTAAAGATCTCCATCTAGTGTTTTGGGGTTGCCCGCTTTCTAAACCTACTCAACGTGGTCAAGTTTTTCCTAGCAAGTCTAGCTAAATTGTTGAGTTGATAACTTTGCGATTGAACTTATTTTGAGAATACATCTTTTAAAAAGAGCTTACCGTGCATGTTTGAGAGACAGGATATTGATCACCACACCCGCAACCCCAATGAGTCTCAAAATGGGGGGTAGTCAAAACAGCGCCATAATAGAAAACGTTCAAAACAGCGCCGTCAAATTTCTCAAAATCCAAAAAACCAAGCCGGTTCAAGTTTTATATCAAAAAATTCCTTGCGTTCTTGGCTACATGATGGGTGAAACAGTTTTTTTAAAAAGTTAATATTTCATAGATAAGAAGAGCACTCAAAATGCGCAGTTCACTGGTTCTTCCCGGTTTCTTGTAAAATTGTTAAAGGTTTAGAGGAGGGAAATTTAGAGTTTCTGTATTTTTTCCGGTTTTTCACTTCTGATTTTTGGGTGGAAAAAAGTATTGGCCACACAAATACAACGATAGTTTTCAGTATTTAGTCGGTCCTCCCTCAGCTTTAATGATTTTCTGCATTCTTTCAACCAATTTATCAAGAAACAGCGGCGATATTGATTTCCAAATTTCTTGAACCTTGTCCCAATGCTCATCTCTCGAAGATGCCCGAAATCCCTTCAGTTCTCGTTTCACATGAGCCCACAAGTGTTCGATTGGGTTACAATCAGGTGAATATGGCGGAGTATCGAGAAGATACACATTGTTGAGGCGAAACCAGCCCGGAAGACGGACAAAGCAGCCTGCCGAAACTTGAGATGACGTCCCATCATCAATCCACTTTTATTTTTGGGGTCATTGTCCAGCATGAATAGCCAGGCTGGACCCATCATTATTTGAGCATGTGGCAGCATCGATGACTGAAGTATATCTGCGTATTTGACCGCATCCATTGTTCCATCGATACAAACGAGAGGAAACTATCCTGGTTTCGACTGTCCAGAAAAGCATCCCCAGCACATTATCCCAACTCCACCAAATTTGACTGTCGGTTGAATATGCTTCAACTTATATCGTGTTCCCGGTGGTCTCTTGATCATAAAATCACCGTTTGGGTTGAATAGCTCGGACTTGACTTCATCACTCCAAATCACACTTCGGCAAGTCTCGACTTTCTAGTGTTGATGCTCCAATGCGAACTGTAAACACAGACGCCGATTTTTGAGAGACATCAAGGGAAATATTTTATTTAAGTTCAATCGTCTTCGAATGTACCAGCAAAGGGAAGAATTGGCTGATATTTATTCTTTAAATATTCATTTAATAAATAAAACACAACATAAATGATTAGCATTAATGATTATGAGCAGAAAAGAGATCAAATAAGGCTTTGTCTGCGCATTATTCACCTGACTTATCATTGTTAGTATCTTCAAAATAATCAGTATAATCACTCAAAAAAATGCTCATCATCCAACGGCAATAATCGAAATCTTCTTTCAGAGCATTCGTCGTAGCAAAGGTATTCTGATCAAAGGTTGATCGACTGTGACTGATTTGTAAATTGAGACCATCCAAGCCCAAGAGTTGACCAATTCTCTCGAGTGCTACATCCAATGGTGGAGTCTTTGTGACCTAAAACAACGTCCTTGTTATTAAGCATTAGATTTTGAACTTAAGCAAGATTTGATCATATGCTAGATAAAGACAGCTAGATAAAGTTTGGCCCTCTTGAAAAATAAAATAAACTTGGACTAAGAACTAAGAGTTTTGGGACCTTTACAGTTATCGGGGGAGTCGATCGATTATCGAGGGGGGGGGGGGGTCGAGTTTTTAACAATTTTGCAGTCCGATTTTAAAAAAGGTTTTTGGTGGTAACCTTTTAATGAAACAAATAGTTTCTAAAAGCTGATGTTCTAAGCTATCTAAATATTATTAAAATTTCCTGATCTGGCAAGTTTATGGGGCTTAAAAATGAGCGGCAAAATTGTCAAAAACTCGAAAAAATTGTCTTCGCGCGGTCTTCTTGCTATACATAACTTGGTCGCCAAATCGCCGAATAGCTTTATAATTTTGGCATTAAGCTTGTAAGATTTTGAGAATTTAAAATTTGATTCAAATATACTGATTCTACGCTGAGATATTAGCAATTTAAGAAAGGGTCAAGACTTAGTTTACAACCTAATAGAAACAGTCAGTAAAGTAGTGTTTTTAAGTCAAAGGCTTGTTTAACCTGAATTCTTTGTTGATACTTCTCATAGCCGGCTTGATTCTTGTAAACAGTGCTGATCGTGGTCTTTCCGGTTCCCTCCCTCACCACACACATTTCATCGTTTGGGAGATAATAGGTCTTTTGATGGATGACTTCTTGAACACCATTCTGAAAACGATTTATTGATCATAAGCTTTCATAGTTTAAGTCTAAGTTTTTGAACAGAATCATTCCTAGAGCGAAATCTCCAAACCAAACCAGGATCAGAAAGAAACCCAGAAAGAAAAGGGTAAACCAATGGGATAAAGCTTGGACTTAGTTTTTGAAACCCTACCGCCATTGGAACTCACCTGGGCCATCATATTCATCTCACAAACATCAACCAGTTTGCCTTGATTGACAACTTTACTTGGAAGCTCTCCTAGATAGAATTGAAGAGAGCAATGAGTCATGAACTCTTCTCCATGTTTCCGGTAGTGATAAAGTGCCAAATAATCATCGACGAACTTCAATTGCTTTCTTGCCACGATATTTCCAATCTTTTTGACATCAATGTTGATGTCGTTCAAAAAGCGTGAAAAGGTGCTTGGATCGTTGAAATTCAGCCGTCGTCCGGCTAGAAAAAGAAAAAGTTTTTGCTTACAAAGTTAAGATTGTCAAATCTTGTTAGTAAACTGGTTAAAACAGATTTCAAAACTCACACTTTCTCTCAGCCGCCACCACTTCCACAAGAGACATAAATTTTCCAGGTTCGGTTTCCGGAATACCCAATTGCTCGGCCAATCTCTCGGCGATTCTCACCGTATCTCTATCATAACCAGCCGCTCCTTCAAACACATTATTGACTCTGGCTTGGTCTCTTGGAGACATGTTCTTCAAATATTTGTGTGCTTTGTGATCATCTCCCAGACATGTTTTCAATTGATTCCTCTTGCTGATTTTCGCCAATCCTTGCACGTCTTGAACAGTGAAGTCAGTTCTAAATAAAAAAGTAAATGAACACTTTTGTAAACCATTGCAAATTTTGTCTTAAAAATAACTCAACTATTCTAACACCTTATTCTAATTGTTCAAGATTAAAGCTTTTACAATAGTTCGATAAAGTTTTTACCGGTGATTGGGGTTTGTTCGTTGAGTATATCCCTTTCCGTCTGTTAGCAATACAGTACGCCCTTTGCGGCCACCAATCTTCATGTCAAAGCCTTGAGTGTTTGAAAAGAAACAATTCGGATCCTCCATTCGATTCAATGTTCGAACAACCTTTGACTTTGCTTGTATGCCTCCCTCACCTTTATTTGCATCAACGAACTTTTGAAATGATTGTTTTGCCTGTGCATCAGTCATTTGATTTGCGATTTCCCCGATTCTTTGTTCTTGGAACTTGTTGATGACTCCGGCAGCGGTTTTTGGTTGCATCAAAGTGTTTGTGAAAAAGAGAGTGCTGATCGAGAACTGCAATAAATCCAAAGCAGTGAGCTCTTTCTTCAACGCTTTCTCCACCAAATTCACAACATTCATCAAGAAGAAAAATGAGTCAATTGAAAGAGAAGTGATCATAAGTGATGTGGCCAAAAGTCTTTGTGATTGAGTGAAAATTCGTCCTTGCGCCGCACCAGCAGCTAGACGAGCATTAGCTAGAGCAGTCACGAAGTGAAGAGGAGCTGCAAGAATGGATAACAGCAAAACAATACTCTCCAAATCAGTAAGACTTTCATTATGATTGTATTTGTCAACAAGTCTTTGCCCAGCTCTCCCCAATCCATAGACTGCACTTGTGCCGGTTGTTCCCAATAAGATTGGACCACTGATGAATCCAGCTGGGGTGAATAGAGAGACCAAACCAACTCCGATTCCAACTGTGGTAATCGTGACGTCGAAAATTCTTCCAATTCTTGCACTCAAGTCACACGCTGGGGTTGCTCCAAATTGAAGTGATGGGTCTTTCTCGGGATCAAAGTCGAATTGATTGTTTTCTGAGCAGCTGTAGAATCCATACTTCGGGAAACAGTATTTGAGCATTGGCAATCGATTTTGCGTTTTCCAGTCCTCCCAATTTTCATACACTCGACACATCGTATCAATGAATCTCATGTGGTGACTGTGGTTGACTTTTTGCCATAAGAGTGAGAAAATCGGAACAGGGAATTCTTTGTCACCTTCTTTACAAAAAATGAATCTGAAACCGATCATGAACTGTTTTTCGGGAGCTTTCATCCAGACTTCATGAATAGTTTTGTAGATTTTCGCTGCAGTTTCTCTTTGCTCATTCGTGTAAGCATCTTCAATTTTCTCCTTCTCTTCTTGTGGTGGGCCGAAAAGAGCAAAACAGATTTTGATTATTCGCAAGCTTTCACTCAAATCCGAGACATCGTGAAATTGAGAACCATCGAATTGAAGGTAGTAGAATTTCTGTGATTGGGCGGCCTTTTCTTTCCATTTCTTCACATCGTCTTGATCCCATGTTGACAAGTATTCACCGCCAAGAGTGTTACCCATTTGTCTGAAATTTATTTATTTAGTAACAAAATCAGAACTCAAATCAAGCAGGAAGCAGTAACGTATTACGGTTTCAAACATTTAAATTCTGGGTCGAAATCTTACCCAAACCGCTAAATCTTTTAATTGAGAAACAATAATTCCAAATGATTTGTCAAAACAAGAGGGATAACAAGACGATTCGCGGCTGGGTTGGATTGACTGGTGTTTATAGAGACAAGGAGTTTATATTTTTAATAACTTTATCGGTGATATAAAAGATACGGGTCCGAAGACCAACAAAGTTGAAAAACCGGAAAAAATACAGAAACTCTAAATTTCCCTCCTCTAAACCTTTAACAATTTTACAAGAAACCGGGAAGAAGGGGTGAAAACAATAAAAGGAGGAGGGAACTTTTAACAATAAACAGAATTTTATAAGGGGATAAAGAAAGGGGAACATACACATGCAAAAGACACGGCGAAGCACCGGACCAGGCAACGATTCTTTAAAAGAGTGAATTGTGAATGGATGGGACTTCCTTTTATAGAGGGAAAGGGGGACGCCATCTCGGGTACGGTAGCTTAGGTGTATTTTATAATTTACGGTTGGAAAGTTGCCAACCCGTACTCGAAATGCGGCAATTAGGGTTTTACTAACAAGGGAACCTTCCCAAGTTACCCGCGAGTTATAATATGAGATAAGTGCCAAAAGAAAGGCCTGCAAATGTACGTTCAGAAACTGTTTTCAAAAACCGCTAATCGGCAAAACGCACAAAGTTACAACCATTTAAATTTCGAAAACATGAAGGCTTTTCTTGAATTTTTGGCACACTGATTTTTACCGGCGGAAAGGCTTTCCATCCGCCATCTCAAAAGTCAGCTCGTAGCCTAGTGGTTAGTGGGCCTGCGTTCGGAACTCTTTGATCTTGGTTCGGATCCACTAGCTGTCAAACTTTTTGATTATTATAAAATTGTATAATGTTATTTTCTAATGCTATTTAATGATTGACAATTTATTTAAAAGAAAGTAAGCAAAAAATTAAAAATCAAGGGTAATTAGCAATTGAGCAAAAATGAACAACCTGAAATGCACAATTAGAACACTAACTTTAAGAGCAATGCGCACAGAGCATGAAATTAATATTATTGCATCCGTTTTCTTCACAATCGCGCTTATTTGTCTTGTTAATGAGATACGCCGTCGAAGTTTCCCGAATGTTGAGGGATGTGTCCTGCTCGGAGTCATGAATATTGACGAGACTTGAAAAATACTGGAGCTTTAAGCTGCTCACACAACCGAAAGAGCTTTAATGATATTGTCTCGCTTGCTGATCTTGAAATCCGGTTTGCTGGCTCGAATGTGATCGCGAATTTTTCCATTACGCCTTTAAATTGTTGAAAGAAGTAAACATCCAATGGTTGAACGAGTCCTGTACACCCCGCTTAAACTCGCCTTGTCGGTACTCGTGGAGTATCCGGGGGGGGGATTTACTCTTACTAAAGTCGCCCGAGCCATAGACGTCTTGGTGCATCCTAAAAATTCATTCGTAATTAGTAATAGCAATTTCGAATACAATCCTATAAAAAGCTACTCACTTCTGCGCTTTATCCCAGCAATTCAACCACAAATGACGACAATGGGCCTGGTCCAATCCAGAATTGTGAAGGGCAAAGTTGCAAAAATGTGCATGGGAATTATGCGACTTCAAATCGATGTTTCCACATAAGAGATAGAGTTGCTTAACGGCGTACACCGCCGCGAACCAAATCTTTTCTGCAGATTGGACAAGGTCCGGCGGCGACCTGGACCAGTAGAAACGAGCCTTCTCGATAAAAGTGGTGGCCGTGTACTTCTCCATTTCTTGCTAAAATACATTAATTATGAAACAAAGGTGCAAACAATGTATTGAAAATTACCGTAAAATCTTCAATAGAAGAGCCCCCTATAGGAGCGTCGTGTAGTCTAGGTTTACTCTCAAACAAGCGCTCATATCTCGACACCAACACGTTTGTTTCTGCGCGCTTAGGTATCAAATTAAAGTACTAAAGTATCAAATTAAGAATGGGTGATTTTTTGAGATGACTGAAAATCGCTGAAAGTCGGCTCTTTTTTTGCCATTTTTCAATCAATTTTTTCTGAGCGCTGGCTAATGCTAAAAATATCTGCTATATCTCAAAAAATCACCCATTCTTTCTACTTTAATTTGATATCTAAGCGGGCAGAAACAAACTTGTTGGTGTCGAGATATGAGCGCTTGTTTGAGAGTAAACCTAGACTACGCGACGCTCCTATAGAGGGGCTTCTATTAGAGTTTTTACGGTAAATTAAAACTTACTCTACTAACGACACTCCACTCGTTCAAATCCACCAATTTGCCCTCATCCTTTAACGTCTTTAACTCTTCGGGATTACCACACCACTTGAAATTAGGATTCATTCTAAAAAAGATATATAATTCACTCAAGAATTAAATTACATGAAAGAAAAAGGTTACCCAGATTACGACTAAAAGGCATTTCGCCTAACACATTTTGCTTCACGATGGCGCAAGAAAGCGAAGCTTGCGCCACGCGTTCAATACAAAGCTTGCGCTGGCGTTAGGCAAAATGCGTCATGCGAAATGGGGGGGGGGGGGGGGGGGGGCAAACAAAGAAAACGTGTTTTCACAAAACGCGAGAAAAAAGCTTGCATCACTTTGCCAAAAAATCAATTAGGAGTTGTGGATTCGGCGGGGTGGTGGGGAACTTCGACTTTCCTAGAAACGCCTTTTATTAGGTTGATGCAAAAGTCTTTTTCATTTTTTTTCGTACTTCTGTTAAAAAGTAACAAATTCACCAATTAATCTATACTAGGTTGGTGCAAATGAAATTTCGTTTTTTTACAAACATTAAAGTCATCCAAAATTTTTTTAGATAACAATTTATTTAAAACAATAAGCATCATTATTATCTATGACATCCCTCCAACGTTGCTTCAGATTGCGGATCCCCTTCTCAAAGAACGCTTGATTCTGTGATGCAAAGTAGTTGGTCACCCAATTTTCGACTTCTTTTGCATTCTTAAACTGGCAATTCTCAAGGGAATGTTGCATCGATTTGAAAAGGTGAAAATCGGAGGGTGCTAAGTCTGGACTATACGGCGCATGTGGTAAGACCTTCCATCCTAGCTTCTCTAGTTCCTTACAAGAGGTTTTTGCCGTGTGAGCTGGAGCATTATCACGGAGAAAGTTGATAGTTGAGGGATTTAGGCCTTTTTCACGCAAAATTTCGTCAACCTTCTTGAGTTGTTGAATAAAATAAGATGAATCGACTGTTTTTCCGGGCTCTAATAATTCAAAATGAACAAGTCCATTGATATTCCACCAGCAAGACAACATCACTTTGCGCCCATGATAATCCGGCTTTGGAGTTGGAATTGGCGCTTGACCTTTGCTCAGCCATTGTCTTTTTCGAGAAGTATTATCAAAGTGAATCCACTTCTCATCCATCGTCAAGATATTCTCAAAAAAAATGGCTTCTTTTCGACTTATGGAGCAAGATATGGCTGATCGAAACGCGTGCTCCCAGATTCTCAACACTCAATTGATGTGGAACCCATTGTCCATTACGATTTGTCTTTCCAATTATTTCCAAATGGCGTACAATTGTTGAATGATCACATTGGAGATGTTTGGCAAGTTCTCGTGTTGTTTGCATTGGATCAGCTTCAATTAATTGTTCCAATTCATTGTTGTCGATGGCTGTGGCACGATGTCCATGCGATTCGTCTTCAAGGGATTCATTACCATCTCGGAATTGGGCAAACCAGAGCTGGCATGATCTTTCGGTGATAACCTGTTCTCCAAAGGCGGAACAGAGATCACGATGTGAATCAGCAGCGTTTTTGCCCATTTTGAAGTCATAGAGAAGACACGTGCGCAGAACATACTTTTGATCCACCATGATCTAAAGCAAAAATCAATTAAAAAGTGAAAGCTCTGACTTTGAAAAAATGCGAAAATAAAGTAAATATCCAAGAGTACAAATGCACAAAAGAACATCAAATAAGTTCTTCAGATTAAAAAAATAAGAACATTTTATATCGACCGAAATTTCTTTTGCACCAACCTAATAGTTTGCTCTATAAAAAAAAGTGTTTTTTTTGTTCAATTTCCATCTTTTTAAATCAATTTCGGTTCACTTTCAAGCAAATTCGAGAGTGAAAAACGCCTTTTTCGTAAAAATCTATAAAAAACTCTACGGAAAAATTGGCTTAATGAATTTCTCTGAAATTTTGGCAAAATATCAAACTTTTTTTTCTCTATCTTTTATCTATTGACACGAAGATAGGTTTTCTTTAGCTAAGGTGTCTAAACCGCATCATCGAGTTAGCCCTTTTTGACTACCCGACTTCATACTCTCAAGAAAATCCAGGCATAAAATATTTTTAAACCCGTTTTAATGTTATTTTGCAGAAAAATAATTGGTTTTTCTAATGAAATCAACCGTAGTTTAATTGGTGCATTTGTTGGCTTGAAACGGCAGACGAAAAAAATGAAAAAGACTTTTGCATCAACCTAATATATGTTACGTCTGAATCCAAACACAAACAGCCAAAGCTGCCTGCCGGTACTTGTGGAGTATCCGGGGGGTCTTTCAATATCCGGGGTGGTAAAATTCTAAGATCCGGGGTAAACTTTCAAAAACCAACCAAATGCCCAAAAATGTTTTTTTTTGTTAATATTGTTTTGCCGCTGTTTGCGTGTGGTAACTAAACTTTATAACTATACCAGCAACGAATAAACAAGATGCACGAGTAATGCAAGAACATAAACATAAACCAAACATAATAATTAAATAAATTTGTGAAGTACAACAGTGACTATTTGTAACAGTGACAATGAATACTACTTGTAAAAATCTATCGAATTTACTTCTAGGCCAGGAGGCCAAATATCAACATCCAAATATCAACAAATATCAACTCAATCCGAAAACCTTCCGTAGCCTTTCACCACTTCAACTTCTTCAAGCAAAAAGTTAAATACTCAAAGAAATGAGTCAGTTTTTGCTGTTAATTTATAAGCATTAACTATTTAGAAGCCCAAGTAGAACATTTCATTCCAAACGGCCATTTCTACTCGCATTACGCCACTGAAATTTTTGGCCCCGACATTACTCCAAAGCTGGAACTTGAGGTTTATCTATAATGCTTATTTAACAATCAAACTTTAGTTAACTACTTATGAAGCAATTCTAACTTCGGGTGCTGCTAGCAACCTTTCTTTGCCTTATTTTTGGATAATGCAACAAGAGAATCTCCCCAATCTTCACAAGCAAAGTTTTCTGTGGTGCCCTGTTTCTGGCTCGTCGGTCTCCGTTGAACGACTATTCAGGTTTATTTTATCAAAAAATGCATAATATTCCTGTATTTAGTCGGCTTGGCATCATTTATGGTAACAAAAGACGAGGACGCTTACTACCTTCTATTATTGAATCACTCATTTCGATTCACGATGCAAATCTTGGCGATATTGTTGTTAGGTATTTTGATATAGTGTTTTATTTATTAGTTTCCTTTTAGGAAGTTTCCTAGCCGCTACACGCAGAAGTACGCTGAGAACGCCTTTGACATGGCTCGCCTGGAGACTTGTGATCCGATTGGGAAGCCGTGTCTCTTCGATGAAAGCGACGTTGATGGAGATTCGGACGCTGAAACTGTCACTTAAAATTGTTGTTCCTGTTGTTTGCTGAAAATTTTCGTTTTTGTTTTGCAGTTTACATGTTTTGTTACTTTTTTAAGAATAAATATAAACTTTCTGTATGTGCGTCTGGGCTCTATCTGAAAAGTATCAGAAATATTCGTTCCAAATTGCGTCGATAAATTCGAAAAACGCTTAAAAAAGATAAGATGGACAAGGGGGACACTTTTGGAAAGTACCGCCCCTCCCCCGGGGGACACTACGGGGACACCTCAGGGAGACACTGGGGGACGGTACTCTGAAAGTATGTATTAGGCATGGGCAGATTCCGTCCCGAACCTAATTCCATCTTCGTTTTCTTGGCCGTTCCTTGACCGATTGATCTGAAATCTTGTCTACAGGTAGAGCTCGGCATTAACTGCTTGCAGACAAAATTTCAGATCAATCGATCAAGGAGCAACCAAGAAAACGAAGGTGGAATTAAGTTCGAGACGTAATTTGGCCATATCTAATGTGTATACAACACAGATAGGAAAACGTAGATATTCTAAATTACAGTTATCAAAGAAACGGTAATAATATCATCTTACACCAGACTTTATAGTCGCCAGAAAACAGACGCTTTTTGGGGAGTCGGGCTCCTTTTTTGGGATTTCCTCTAAAAATGCGGAGTAATTTCTGCAAGTGAAGAGTAAAGTGAAGATTTTAATAATCAACCTAATACCAAGTAGAAGTTTATTTGTTTGTTTGATTGATCGCTAGAAAAAACTTACGCCACAGAAATCACAGAAATCAGCGCGAATGCTAGGAAAAGAAGTAAAATTGCACGCATTTTGGATCAGTGAATCTTCGTTTGTCAGAATCTGAATCACAGAGTTTTTATAGCTCCGGCGGATTCCCTCAAAAAGTTGTTCAAAACACCGGAAATCTTGTTTGGCTTCAGTGTTTTTGTTATGCCTCCAGGCAGAAATCCTTTGGCCCATTTAAAATCCATTAGAACAAAAAATTCTGACCAACAACACATAGTCAATGTCAAATTTGAAAAAATGTAATATATATTGAATTTGTTTATGTGAAATAATTGAAATGCAAATTTATTTGAAATGAACCAAAAGTTGGTCAAATGTTTTTTTGTATGTGCAGAGTGTGCCCTTCTCATTTGGTATCTCCATCTCTAAAAGAGTTCGAAAATAAATAACTTTGTTTTGGCTAGTTTATACTCGCAAGTCAAAATTCTTAAATCTTCATAGATCTGCCTGCAGGATAAATACTAACCTCTTATCTTTTTTGCCGTCACGGCGTTCACGTTGCGCTACAGGCTCACCGCTGTCACGGCGTTCACGTTGAGCTAAAGGCTCACCGCTGTCACGGCGTTCACGTTGAGCTAAAGGCTCACCGCCGTCACGGCGTTCACGTTGAGCTAAAGGCTCACCGCTGTCACGGCGTTCACGTTGAGCTAAAGGCTCATCGCCGTCACGGCGTTCACGTTGAGCTAGATGCTCATCGCCGTCACGGCGTTCACGTTGAGCTAGATGCTCATCGCCGTCACGGCGTTCACGTTGAGCTCCGGTCTCCTTGTCGTCACGGCGTTCACGTTGAGCTCCGGTCTCCTTGTCGTCACGGCGTTCACGTTGAGCTACATGCTCATCGCCGTCACGGCGTTCACGTTGAGCTCCGGTCTCCTTGTCGTCACGGCGTTCACGTTGAGCTCCGGTCTCCTTGTCGTCACGGCGTTCACGTTGAGCTCCGGTCTCTTTGTCCTCACGGCGTTCACGTTGAGCTAGATGCTCATCGCCGTCACGGCGTTCACGTTGAGCTCCGGTCTCCTTGTCGTCACGGCGTTCACGTTGAGCTACATGCTCATCGCCGTCTCTAAAATTAGAATGTCGACTTCATGAATCTTCACAACACATTTGACCTAGTTCATTTTTCTAATTTTTTGATACTACTATTATGAAAAGGCTTATGCCACTAGAAGTAGGACAAACAAGTCTGCAAGCAAGGCTTTGAGAAAAAGTTAATTGTTTTCAACCTTTCGTGACGTGGCGGGTCATGACGTCGCGCGCGGCTACTTGGATCCTTGGCATCTCTAAACAATAAAGATTGAGGATTTCAGCCATCTATACTTTTACAACAAACCTATCCATTGTACTTAATGCTTTTTAATTATAAGACACAAGCGAAACTTTTCTCAAAGCTTAAAGATGCACAGAAAATGCTCAAACTGTGACATATGACAATAGCCGGCAGTTTTCAATTCACCAACCCAATAATTTACCGTAATCGGTAAAGAAATTTAGTAAAAAGTGACTATAATGAGAAATCAAAGAAGCTCTTATTTTTGCCATAACCGGGATCTTTGAAATAATATCTGTAGAAAGGAAAATTTACAATAAGATTAAGCCTAACAAAATGAAGAAAAAATAAACTTCTAACCTCTTTTGCTTTTCATGCTCTCCTTGCGCATCGTCGTCTCTATAATTGGAATGCTGGTAATTGCGTTTATTCTAATATATTCTCCCATTCTAACACTTTCACAAAGATTATTTTACATATTGCTTTCTAATAAAACTTACGCCACAATCACAGAAATCAGCGCGAATGCTAGGAAGAGAAGGAAAATTGAACGCATTTTGGATCAGTGAATCTTCGTTTGTCAGGATCTGATTCACCGAGCTTTTATAGCTTGGGCGGATTCTCCCGAAAAGTTGTTCCAAACACCGAAAAACCTTGTTTGGTTCCAGTGTCGTTGTTATCCTCAAGGCAGAAATCCGTTGGTGGAAACATTAGATCAAAATTTCTGGTCAACAACACGTAATCATCGCTTCAAAAAAATCGGAAAATTGAAAAAACACATTGCACTTCCCAAAAGTGTTAAGGGTTGTTGATCGAAAATTTTGGGTTTCAATGTCTTTTTTCATTTCAATGACGAGCCAATTTGGGAAATTCGTACAAAAAGTTTATGAACAATTCTGTTGGCCAAACTCTTATTGCATCTTTAGCAATGGATTTATTTGAAAAGGGGATTTATTTCGTTGATGAAGCTTTGTTTTCCCTTTTCGAATTGTCAAAACACATTGTTCGTGGCCTTGAAAGGGACGTGTTCAAAATGGTCAAGGTGGAGAAAAAAATTAGTGAGAAACTCTGCAAAAACAACAACAAAGCAGAAAAAGATATTGTTCACAGGGGAATGCCAACCGGGCGTGGTGACCAAATGACACGAGCAATGTGTTTTGACAATTCGAAAATTTGACAATACTATTCTACGCAGAATTTGACGCTGATTCCGAATCTGCTCCGAACCTTGCGCTAAATAGCACTCTGTCAAAAGAGCACTTTCTTTTTTTCAAAATCACTTTTTCTGGGGTAGTTTTATGCGTCTATTCTAAAAAACACAACGAAAGCTTGGGAAAAGGCGTTTTAAGCCGACTTTCGGGGCTTCAAAGTGCGCGCTTCTATAGTGTACTTCACTTGGAAGTCCAAGCTATCGACTATTGGGGCGTTTTTTAAGGTCAAAACTAGGGCCAAAACCTTTTTCAACCACTAAATATTCATCTTCTAACTTAAATTGACTGGTAGAGGTAAAGCACACTGAAAAAATATTTTTGAGATTTTGGGGAGACCACATGGTCGAAATTTAAAAAAATTTTCTTTTTTGTTTTGATCCAATTTAATCAGAAACGTAATCAGTAGGTTAAATCATGCCAGAAGAAGTGTTTTTAACTTTAAAGATGTTTTGAGAGACCATTTTTAGACCTCTTCCCTGGATATTTTGCATTTTAATGATGGTTGTTTAATGTTAATAGTTACTAGGTTGGTGCAAAAGAAATTTCGTTTTTTTGCAAACATTAAATTTAATCAAAATTCCTTTAGGTAACAATTTATTCGAAACAATAAGCACCATCGTTATCTATAACATCCCTCCAACGTTGCTTTAGCTTGCGGATCTCCTTATCGAAGAACTCTTGATTCTGTGCTTGAAAGTAGTTGGTCAGCCAAATTTCGACTTCTTGCGTATTCTTAAACTGGCAATTCGCAAGGGAACGTTGCATCGATCTGAAGAGGTGAAAATCAGATGGTGATAAGTCTGGACTATATAGCGCATGCGGTAAGACCTTCCATTTTACTTCCTCTAACTCCATATAAGCAGCTTTTGCTGTGCGAGCGGGCGCGTTGTCACGGAGAAAATTGACAGTCGAGGGATTTAAAGCCTTTGGTTTAAAATTTGGTCAACCTTCTTGAGATGTAAGCAACCTTAGAGATGTTGTTTCGTGTTGTTTGCATTGGATCGGCTTCAATAAGTTGTTCCAATTCATTATTATCGATGGCTGCGGAGCGATGTCCATGTGAATCGCCTTCAAGAGATTCAATACCTTCTCGGAATCAAGCAAACCAGAGCTGGCAGGATCTTTCGGTCCAAATCGTAAGGGCAGCCGGTCGTGGATTTCTTCTCGAGTTGGCTTCATTCGATCGACTGCAACTCTCTTCTCGTGTCAATTCCTCAAAAATGAATATTGGTGCAAGAAAGCAGAAAGTTTTAGCATGAAAAAGAAAAAAGATTAATACAAAACGTTGTGTTGTGACCGAGTACTGATCAAAACAAAAATCTCTGGGTTTCTATGGGATAATCTAATAGAAAGGTCGGCTTGCCGGAAATGCCATAAAACAGGTGCTTTTTGGGGAGTCGCAACTCCCCAAAAAGCTCCTCATTTTTAGACAAAACCACAAGACGGATTTTTATGAAGCTATTATTTTTGAAATCAGCGCATTTTTTTGGTCTAGAAAACGCAAATGGCAGTTATTTTTAATAGGGAACGCATTTTTCGATACATTTCGCGCGGATGTGAGTCGGGCTCTTTTTTTGGAATTTCCTCTAAAAATGCGGAGAAATTTCTGCAAGTGAAGAGTGAAGTGAAGATTTTGAATAATCTACCTAATACCAAGAGAAAGTTTATTCTTTGTTTGATTGATCGTTAGCAAAAACTTACGCCACAATCACCGAAATCAGCGCGAATGCTAGGAAAAGAAGTAAGATTGAACGTATTTTGAATCAGTGAATCTTCGTTTATTATAATTTTATTTATCAAACTTATATAGCATTCCCCAAAGTTGTTCAAAACACCAAAAACCTTGTATGGTTCCAGTGTTGTTGTTATCCTCAAGGCAGAAATCCTTGGGTGGAGCCATTAGATCAAAAAATTCCGGCCAACAACACGTAGTTAATTTGAAATTTGAGAAAATGTAATATATATTGAATTTGTTTTATGTAAAAGAATTGGAATGCAAATTTATTTGAATTGAACCGAAAATCGGCCAAAAGTTTTTTGTATGTGCAGAGTGTGCCCTTCTTAATCATCGCTATCGTCATCTCTAAAAGAGTTCGAAAATAAAAACGCTTTACAAATGATCGCTAAACAACTTTATTTTCGCTAGTTACTGTTTTCACGAACCTTGCTTTACGACGAAGAGCGCGACGAACACGTTCAGCATCAGTATCAGCATCTCTGCAAATTGAGACTCACATACGTTGAAATACAATTTCTATTGTCAAAATCGATCAGTAAGATTTAAGAAAAACAATTCTTCCATCATTCTCAGCCAACCTCTTCTCATTACATTTTTTTTTTGACATTTTTTTGATACTACTATTAAAAACAATTCTTACGTTGAGCGTTCCCGTTGAGCTACATGCTCATCGCCGTCACGGCGTTCACGTTGAGCTCCTGCCTCCTTGTCGTCACGGCGTTCACGTTGAGCTCCGGCCTCCTTGTCGTCACGGCGTTCACGTTGAGCTAGATGCTCATCGCCGTCACGGCGTTCACGTTGAGCTCCGGCCTCCTTGTCGTCACGGCGTTCACGTTGAGCTCCTGCCTCCTTGTCGTCACGGCGTTCACGTTGAGCTCCGGCCTCCTTGTCGTCACGGCGTTCACGTTGAGCTCCTGCCTCCTTGTCGTCACGGCGTTCACGTTGAGCTCCGGCCTCCTTGTCGTCACGGCGTTCACGTTGAGCTACATGCTCATCGCCGTCACGGCGTTCACGTTGAGCTCCTGCCTCCTTGTCGTCACGGCGTTCACGTTGAGCTCCGGCCTCCTTGTCGTCACGGCGTTCACGTTGAGCTCCGGCCTCCTTGTCGTCACGGCGTTCACGTTGAGCTAGATGCTCATCGCCGTCACGGCGTTCACGTTGAGCTCCGGCCTCCTTGTCGTCACGGCGTTCACGTTGAGCTCCTGCCTCCTTGTCGTCACGGCGTTCACGTTGAGCTCCGGCCTCCTTGTCGTCACGGCGTTCACGTTGAGCTCCTGCCTCCTTGTCGTCACGGCGTTCACGTTGAGCTCCGGCCTCCTTGTCGTCACGGCGTTCACGTTGAGCTCCGGCCTCCTTGTCGTCACGGCGTTCACGTTGAGCTCCTGCCTCCTTGTCGTCACGGCGTTCACGTTGAGCTCCGGCCTCCTTGTCGTCACGGCGTTCACGTTGAGCTCCGGCCTCCTTGTCGTCACGGCGTTCACGTTGAGCTCCTGCCTCCTTGTCGTCACGGCGTTCACGTTGAGCTCCTGCCTCCTTGTCGTCACGGCGTTCACGTTGAGCTCCGGCCTCCTTGTCGTCACGGCGTTCACGTTGAGCTCCGGCCTCCTTGTCGTCACGGCGTTCACGTTGAGCTCCTGCCTCCTTGTCGTCACGGCGTTCACGTTGAGCTCCGGTCTCCTTGTCGTCACGGCGTTCACGTTGAGCTCCGGCCTCCTTGTCGTCACGGCGTTCACGTTGAGCTCCGGCCTCCTTGTCGTCACGGCGTTCACGTTGAGCTCCTGCCTCCTTGTCGTCACGGCGTTCACGTTGAGCTCCGGCCTCCTTGTCGTCACGGCGTTCACGTTGAGCTCCTGCCTCCTTGTCGTCACGGCGTTCACGTTGAGCTCCGGCCTCCTTGTCGTCACGGCGTTCACGTTGAGCTACATGCTCATCGCCGTCACGGCGTTCACGTTGAGCTCCTGCCTCCTTGTCGTCACGGCGTTCACGTTGAGCTCCGGCCTCCTTGTCGTCACGGCGTTCACGTTGAGCTCCGGCCTCCTTGTCGTCACGGCGTTCACGTTGAGCTAGATGCTCATCGCCGTCACGGGGTTCACGTTGAGCTCCGGCCTCCTTGTCGTCACGGCGTTCACGTGGAGCTAGATGCTCATCGCCGTCACGGCGTTCCCGTTGAGCTACATGCTCATCGCCGTCACGGCGTTCACGTTGAGCTCCTGCCTCCTTGTCGTCACGGCGTTCACGTTGAGCTCCGGCCTCCTTGTCGTCACGGCGTTCACGTTGAGCTAGATGCTCATCGCCGTCACGGCGTTCACGTTGAGCTCCTGCCTCCTTGTCGTCACGGCGTTCACGTTGAGCTCCGGCCTCCTTGTCGTCACGGCGTTCACGTTGAGCTCCGGCCTCCTTGTCGTCACGGCGTTCACGTTGAGCTCCGGCCTCCTTGTCGTCACGGCGTTCACGTTGAGCTCCTGCCTCCTTGTCGTCACGGCGTTCACGTTGAGCTCCTGCCTCCTTGTCGTCACGGCGTTCACGTTGAGCTCCGGCCTCCTTGTCGTCACGGCGTTCACGTTGAGCTCCGGCCTCCTTGTCGTCACGGCGTTCACGTTGAGCTCCTGCCTCCTTGTCGTCACGGCGTTCACGTTGAGCTCCGGTCTCCTTGTCGTCACGGCGTTCACGTTGAGCTCCGGCCTCCTTGTCGTCACGGCGTTCACGTTGAGCTCCTGCCTCCTTGTCGTCACGGCGTTCACGTTGAGCTCCTGCCTCCTTGTCGTCACGGCGTTCACGTTGAGCTCCGGCCTCCTTGTCGTGACGGCGTTCACGTTGAGCTCCGGCCTCCTTGTCGTCACGGCGTTCACGTTGAGCTCCGGCCTCCTTGTCGTCACGGCGTTCACGTTGAGCTCCTGCCTCCTTGTCGTCACGGCGTTCACGTTGAGCTCCGGCCTCCTTGTCGTCACGGCGTTCACGTTGAGCTCCGGTCTCCTTGTCGTCACGGCGTTCACGTTGAGCTCCGGCCTCCTTGTCGTCACGGCGTTCACGTTGAGCTAGATGCTCATCGCCGTCACGGGGTTCACGTTGAGCTCCGGCCTCCTTGTCGTCACGGCGTTCACGTGGAGCTAGATGCTCATCGCCGTCACGGCGTTCCCGTTGAGCTACATGCTCATCGCCGTCACGGCGTTCACGTTGAGCTCCTGCCTCCTTGTCGTCACGGCGTTCACGTTGAGCTCCGGCCTCCTTGTCGTCACGGCGTTCACGTTGAGCTAGATGCTCATCGCCGTCACGGCGTTCACGTTGAGCTCCGGCCTCCTTGTCGTCACGGCGTTCACGTTGAGCTCCTGCCTCCTTGTCGTCACGGCGTTCACGTTGAGCTCCGGCCTCCTTGTCGTCACGGCGTTCACGTTGAGCTCCTGCCTCCTTGTCGTCACGGCGTTCACGTTGAGCTCCGGCCTCCTTGTCGTCACGGCGTTCACGTTGAGCTCCGGTCTCCTTGTCGTCACGGCGTTCACGTTGAGCTCCGGCCTCCTTGTCGTCACGGCGTTCACGTTGAGCTAGATGCTCATCGCCGTCACGGCGTTCACGTTGAGCTCCGGCCTCCTTGTCGTCACGGCGTTCACGTGGAGCTAGATGCTCATCGCCGTCACGGCGTTCCCGTTGAGCTACATGCTCATCGCCGTCACGGCGTTCACGTTGAGCTCCTGCCTCCTTGTCGTCACGGCGTTCACGTTGAGCTCCGGCCTCCTTGTCGTCACGGCGTTCACGTTGAGCTAGATGCTCATCGCCGTCACGGCGTTCACGTTGAGCTCCGGCCTCCTTGTCGTCACGGCGTTCACGTTGAGCTCCGGCCTCCTTGTCGTCACGGCGTTCACGTTGAGCTCCTTGGTCATTGCCATCTCTAAAATTAGAATGCTCGTAATTTATTTGACTTCTATCCATCTAAAGAACTTCATCATCATCATCAAAGTAACTGGCCAATGCTGATCGGGGAAAACTGTTTCTAACCTCTTTTCCTCTTGATGGTCCTGTTGCGCTTCGTCGTCGCTTCTATAATTGGAATGTTGGTAATGGCGTTTATTCTAATATATTCTCCCATTCTAACACTTACATAAAGATTACTTTACATATTGCTTTCTAATAAAAATTACGCCACAATCACAGAAATCAGCGCAAATGCTAGGAAAAAAAGGAAAATTGAACGCATTTTGGATCAGTGAATCTTCGTTTGGCAAAATCTGATTCATCGAGCTTTTATCGGCGGATTCCCCCAAAAAGTTGGTAAAAACACCGAAAAACCTTGCTTGGTTCCAGTGTTGTTGTTATCCTTAAGGCAGAAATCTTTCGGTGGAACCATTGGATCAAAAAATTCTGACCAATAACACTTAGTGATCGCTTCAAAAAAATCGGAAAATGAAAAAGACAAATTTTTACATTTTTTCCAAAAATTGTGAAAATTTGTTGGTCGAAAACTTCGGATTTCAATGTCTTTTTTCATTACAATAACAAGTCAATTTGGAAAATTCGTACAAAAAGTTTATGCACAATTTGCCCGTTCTGTTGACCAAACTCTTATTTCATCTCTAGCAATGGATTTCTTTGAAAACGGGATTTATTTCGTTGATCAAGCTTTTTTTTCCCTTTTCGGATTGTCAAAACACATTTTTTAATTTTTTGATACTACTATTATAATAAACGCTTATGCGACTAGAAGTAGGAAGAACAAGTCTGCAAACAAAGCTTTGAGAAGAAATAGATTGTCTCCAACCTCTGGTGACGTAACAAATCGAGACGACGAGCGCGGCTGCTTGGATCCTTGGCATCTCTAAACAATAAATATTGAAGATTTCAGTCATCTATGCTTTTACAACAAACCTATCTATTCTCTTTAAGTCACGGCGAGCGGGTTGACCTTTTTCAGCATCGCCATCTCTGAAATGGAAATTGTTTACAACATTCATCTTGAATGCAAAGTATCGCAAATCGTTTTATTGTACTTAATAATTTTTACTTATAGCACACAAGCGAGGAACTTTTCTCAAAGCTTAAAGATGCACATGATTTTTGCATCATTTACGACTAACGACTTACGAATAATAACGATACAAATAGTCGCTTGTTGTCAACTCAAATATTTTTTGGTCCCACGGGCTTTTTGTGTGAAATACCGCCTGGTCGTGAATGTGTTAAAATGATAGGAGAAAACTGGCCAATAGGGATCGAAGAAAATAGTTGGAACTAGGGCAGATCAAAATGTTGTACGGGACCGGGACTAGAACTCGCAACCTTTCGCCTACCGGACAAATCTGCTAACCCTTACACCACAACGCACTTCATCACCCTTACTCCAGGTGGAATTAACTAAACTGTTTCTAACCTCTTCTCCCTGTCGTCGTCACGGCGTACGCGGTCGTCTCCATTATGGGAATCATCTCTAAATAGAAATGTTAACGATCCGGATCTTTACAATTTACAATCAATCACGGTTTGCTCTTATTAATTCAAACACTTACATCACTAATAGTAATTTGAAAAGCTATTCTGAGCAAAAGAAAGCTTCTTAGATCTGCTTGCATGATAAACACTAACCTCTTCTCCCTATCGTCGTCACGGCGTACACGTTGGTCTCCTTGCGCCTTGTCGTCTCTATAATTGGAATGCTGGAAATTGCATTTATTCCACTATATTCTCCCATTCTAACACTTACACAAAGATTACTTTACATATTTCTCTCTAATAAAACTTACGCCACAATCACACAAATCAGCGCAAATGCTAGGAAAATAAAGAAAATTGAACGCATTTTGGATCAGTGAATCTTCGTTGGTCAGAATCTGATTCATCGAGCTTTTATAGCTCCACAGATTCCCCTAAAATGTTGGTCAAAACATTGAAAAACCTTGTTTGGTTCCAGTGTTGTTGTGATCCTTAAGGCAGAAATCTTTCGGTGGAACCATTGGATCAAAAAATTCTGACCAATAACACTTAGTGATCGCTTCAAAAAAATCGGAAAATGAAAAAGACAAATTGCACATCATTTTTTCTAAAAATTGTGAAAATTTGTTGATCGAAAACTTCAGGTTTCAATGTCTTTTTTCATTACAATAACAAGTCAATTTGGAAAACTCGTACAAAAAGTTTATGCACAATTTGCCCGTTCTGTTGGCCAAACTCTTATTTCATCTATAGCAATGGATTTCTTTGAAAACGGGATTTGTTTCGTTGATGAAGCTTTGTTTTCCCTTTTCGAATCCTCAAAACACATTGTCCTTGAAAAAGGCGCGTTCAAAATGGTCAAGGTCGAAAAAAAATCAGTGAGAAACTCTGCAAAAACAAAGCAGAAAAAGATATTATCCCGTTTTACTACAGAGTAGTTTATATTTTCTGTCAGCTTGATAATCAGTCAACTTTGCTTTATTTGCCTTTTTCGATTCTAGATTACTTGAAAGCAATGTTTTTTTCTAAAAGCTGCATAATTTGTAAAGTTATCGTAATGCTTTCTCCGGATTTTGTCCTATCTAATATATTTTGATCCAATCTGATGATGGATCAAGCTATAAGTTGAATGTAATCAAAAGTACATAGATCGGACAAATATAATGAAAAGATTACGGTAGCTTTCCAAACTACTCACTCGCCTTTTTGCTTCACAATGACTAGCCACTAATAATAAGTTGATTCCACTAATACAGTCATGGATAAAAGTCTTTTAACGTTGGTTTTTAGAAGTTTGTCCTTTGTATATCTTGGTCCAAATCCGATCAATTTGCAAACGGTTAAAAGATTTAAAGAGCTTATTATCTCTAATTTTAACATTACAAAAAGATGCATTTAACAATTTTTCATGAACACGGTAACAAGGCGTCATGACCTTTTTTAAAACAAAACTTGAGCCAAAAATTGATGGACAAAAGTCTTTTAACATGTGAGAAAAACATTATGAAATCAATACTTAGTAGGTCCACCGCGAACCGCAATTACTGCTTGAATTCTCCTTGACATGCTGTCAACCAGATCACGTAGAATTTGGGGTCCAATAGTGGTCCAGACTTGACGGATGAAGTACCAAAGCTCCACTTTTGATCCGAATAGTTGCCGATTTCTGGTTGCTAACTCCGATTTTTTAGATGCCCGGCGCCTACTTATCCACTTCGGGCCAGGAGAAAATCGTCGAAGCTCGAAAAAATGGAATATCTAGAAAAGCCGTCGCTGAGCTCTTCCGCTGTACCGAAACAACTGTATCGCTTGTTGTCTCCAGGGCCAAACTCGCGGGAAACGTTCATCGTGCATCAAAAAGTGGACGTCCACCAGTTACAACTTTACGAGAAGACAATGCGCTTGTTCTGGCCCACAAGAAGAACCCAAATCTAAATGCCTCTGATGGCGTGGCTATGGTGAAGCAACAATTTAACAAAGAAATTTCTCGAAAAACGATGAGTAGACGCCTGATTCACGGTGGATTGATGACTAGAAGAGCCACCAAGAAACCTCTGATGGTAGCTAAGCACCGGAAGCTTCGTCTCGAGTTTGCTAAGAAGTATCAAAGTTGGACGTTGCACGATTGGGTCAATGTTGTGTTCACCGACGAATCGAAAGTCAATCTTTTCGCCCCTGATGGCAGTCATTTGATACGGAGACCAGTCGGACAACGTTATAACATTAAATACTTGCGTCCTACAGTTAAATTTGGTGGCGGATCGATCATGCTATGGGGTAAGAAACTTTGTATTTTGTGCCTACTGATTTTCTGATTTCTAGGAGCAATGTCCAGAAATTCACTGGGTCCACTCGTCCTTCTAAACTTAACGTTGAATGCTCAACGCTACAAGACGATTCTGGAGAATGAGCTTCTACCGTTTTCGACCGCAAATATGGGCCAAGGTTGATTGTTGTACCAGGACAATGCCCCGTGCCACAAGTCACAGCTGCTGATGGGACGCCGTGTTCGACTCGCCAAAGGAGGAACGGCTCTGGTGCCAGGATGGTTCAAAGCAAACCGTGTTCAACTTGTGTCTGCTCCTCCCTATAGTCCTGATTTGAATGTGATCGAGAACTTATGGGCGTTTGTGAAATCGAGATTGAAGGGGAAACTATTCGGATCAAAAGTGGACCTTTGGTACTTCATCCGTCGAGTCTGGACAACTATTGGACCCCAAATTCTACGTGATCTAGTTGACAGCATGTCAAGGAAAATTCAAGCAGTAATTGCGGCTCGCGGAGGAACTACTAATTATTGATTTCATAATGTTTTTCTCACATGTTAAAAGACTTTTGTTCAAAAAATTGTCCATCAATTTTTGGCTCAATTTTTTTTATTAAAGAGTTCATGACACCTGATAAATTGTTAAATCCATCTTTTTGTAATGTTAAAATTAGAGATAATAAGCTCTTTAAATCTTTTAACCGTTTGCAAATTGGTCGAATTTGGACCAAGATATACAAAGAACAAACTTCTAAAAACCAACGTTAAAAGACTTTTATCCATGACTGTATTAGTGGAATCAACTTATTATTAGTGGCTAGTCATTGTGAAGCAAAAAGGCGAGTGAGTAGTTTGGAAAGCTACCGTAATCTTTTCATTATATTTGTCCATGACTGTATCAATGTTATTCATCCAATTCAGCGAGTGTGTTTTAAAGTTGTAAACTTAAATCTTTATTAATGGACATTCAAATTCTTAATTTGTTCAGAAATTGACAAGCATGGCACTGAATAAAGCAAGGTTGAAAAATGAAAGGGATTGGTTTTAAGAAATCTTTTTAACGGCGGACATTGTATCCATATCCTTCTCTAAAAAATTAAAACATTAAAGAAAAAACCCATCTTACTGATAGTTGAACTGATAGTTGAATCTATAGAACTTGTAGAGCAACTCTTCAAAGTTTACGATTTAACGTTTTAACAACTGTTTTCTTACTAACAACTAACCTCTTGTCACGAGAGGCGCCATCACGAACGCGGTGAGCGTTTAACACAGTGGCATCGTCATCTCTGAAAGAGAGAAATTTGTAAGCAGCTTCACACATCTCTCATTTCCACTGAAGCTTTCGCAATTCACATACAGTAAAAATCTGATATAGCAAGCTTTCATAAGAAAACTGTTTTCAATTGTGCTCATGTAGACAAATAAATCCTCGATCCGTTATGAAAAAGTTTCACTCACTGAGTTAATTCAAAGTTTGCCTAGACAATGCGCTGATTTTGCATGACTTGCTTAACAAACTGCAGATTTAGAGTCAGATTTTATCAGAATAATAAGTGGATTAACTGGTCTTAACCTCTTCTCGCGGGGATCATCTCGGATGACACGGTATCCATATCCTTCTCTAAAAAATTCAAGCATTAAAGAAAAGCCGCATCTTACTGATAGTTGAACTGATAGTAGAATCTATAGAGCTTGCAGAGCAACTCTTTAAAGTTTACAATTTAACGCTTTAACAACTGTTTTCTTATCTACAACGAACCTTTTCTCTCTTTCACGGAGTCCACGTTGATCTCCTTGGGGATCCTTAGGCATGCTTCTAGAATTGGAATGCTGGGAATGGTAACACTGCTATCTCGAATCTTAGGTACAATATTGAACCGGATTGTTTCATAGATCTGCTTGCATGATAAGCACTAACCTCTTCTCCCTATCGTCGTCACGGCGTACGCGTTGGTCTCCATGCGCCTTGTCGTCTCTATAATTGGAATGCTGGTAATTGCATTTATTCCATTATATTCTCCCATTCTAACACTTTCACAAAGATTACTCAACATATTTTTCTCTAATAAAACTTACGCCACAATCACACAAATCAGCGCAAATGCTAGGAAAAGAAAGAAAATCGAACGCATTTTGGATCAGCAAATCTTCATTTGTCAGAATCTGATTCCCCGAGCTTTTATAGCTTTGGCGGATTCCCTAAAAAGTTGGTCAAAACATTGAAAATCTTGTTTCGCTCCAGTGTTGTTGTTATCCTCATGGCAGAAATCCTTGGTTGCAACCATTAGATCAAAAAATTCTGGCCAAAAACACGTAGTCATCGCTTCAAAAAAGTCGGAAAATGGAAAAACCCGATTGCACATCATTTTTCTCCAAAAAGTGCTAAGGTTTGTTGATCGAAAACGTTGGGTTTCAATTGACAGGCCAATTTGGAAAATTCGTATTTTTGTTGATCTACATTTTGTCTATTCTGTTGGCCAAACACTATTTTATCTTTAGCACAGGATTTCTTTGCAAAGTGGATTTGTTTGATGAAGCTTTGTTTTCTCTTTTGAATTCTCAAAACACATTGATCGCGTCCTTGAAAAATGATCAAGGTCAGGCAGGAAATAAATGACAACTTTGCAAAAAAATAGCAAGCAAAAATTGTTGAAAAAAAACGTAACCTCTTCTCGCGGGAATCGCGAACACTTTGAACGTAGTCGAAGTCACTAAAATTATTCATTGCCTATATTTTCATTCTGTTTTAAATTCTTTTACGGTAAGCCTAATGCAAAGTTCCATCTACTTGAACAAAACTTTCACGAAAACTCACTCATCAAACCCAGAAAGCAGAACGAATGCTAAGAAAAAAAAAGAATTTGACGCATTTTTTCGATGAGTTCGGTCAATCTCTTTCTTTTTTTCTTGTCTAACTTTTATGTATATCCAAATTCGCTCGGAACAAAGAAAAAAAACCGTGATTGGTTCCAGTGTTGCAATCTCAAGGCTCAATGACTTTTAGTCAGAGTGGAACGATCGGAACGAAATTTTTCACTTAAAAGTCATGCAGTAACTGAAGAAACTGTAAATAGGTATTTGTTTCTTTGAACTCGCCAAAGCACAAGAAACTTCTTTGAAAAGGCAAGCTCGAATATTGATCAAGGAGATAAAAGGAGAAGAATAGATAAGCATGAAAATTAATCAAGTTTTGTAACATTAGTAATAAGATATATAATCTATTGCCAAGTCTACTCTTTAAACTTCAAAAACAAAGCTTTTAAGGCATTTTATTTTTATTTTCATCTTTGTAACGGATACTTTTTAACTCGTTGACTCGTTATTAAATAAACTCTCCTGTTTTCAAGCTATGTTTCACTAAACTATCTAGTTTTTGTGTCTAGCTCAAATGAATGATGAGCTCTGCCCAAAAAAAAACAAATGCCGCATTGCAAACCGCTTAATCCAAGAACTTGAGAGTAATTCCGATAAGGAACTTGAACAAATAAGATTTTGAAAGAATACAGTGTTTTGGGCATCGGATATCGGCATCATTCTAGTGAACAAATCAGAGTAAACATCTGGAAAAGCTTGAAATTTTTGTGCCCAATGAACTCATATAAAAAGAAATCAGTCAAGCAGAGAAATTAAGCATCTAAATGGAAATTTTTTGGCTTCTCGTGTTGATCGCCGCTTCAATGGTCTCCGCTCAGAACGAGTTCTTTGATGACGAGAAGTGAGTGCTTTCTGAATAATGGATTTTGAACCATAATTTTGAATACAAGTAACAATTCAACTTATTATCATCCTGAAGCTCACACCAACTCCAGACCAATCCGAGCGAAACAAGCGTATTACCGAAACGGGGCCTACTTCGCCTCACCTTACAATCGATACAACAACAATGGCGTCTACTATTACAACTCTGCGTCAGCTTTAGAAGCAATCCCTTTTACTTGAAAGTCACACTCTTCAGTTCACCACCTACCAGATATACTTTAGTAACACGCAATACTATCGAGGCTCAAGCGGCTGAAACCATTGACGACACTGACTTTCACTGATACAATCATCTCCAAAAGCTTCGAGAAATAAACGGTGAGATTCAGCAGGGGTTTTTCCTTATTTGAAATCGTAGATCATGGCAGCTCGAGGCACGAGCTTGTTGTCATCAATTTTTGCAGTAAAAACCACTAGCGAAGTGAAAAGGAAAATGATTATAAATCTAGTGAGTGTGTAGTTTATTTTTGTACAAAACATTACGTAAGCAAACACTTGGCAAAATTCGAAGCCCGCACTATTTTCTTTACACCGTGGTACAATAACTAACTACTAACAATATGTTGATTCAATTAATACCAATGTTATTCATCCAATTCAGCGAGTGTGTTCTAAAGTTGTAAACTTAAATCTTTATTAATAGACATTCAAATTGTAAATTTGTTCGGAAATTAGTAAAAATGGCACTGAATAAAGCAAGGTTGAGAAATGAAAGGGATTGGTTTTAAAAGAAATCTTTTCCACGGCGAACACGGTATCCATATTGTCCTCTAAAAAATTAAAACATTAAAGAAAAAACCCATCTTACTGATAGTTGAACTGATAGTTGACTCTATAGAAATTGTAGAGCAACTCTTCAAAGTTCACGATTTAACGCTTTAATAATTATTTTCTTATTAACAACTAACCTCTTCTCACGAGAGGCGTCTTGACGAACGCGGTGAGCGTTTAACACAGTGGCATCGTCGTCTCTGAAAGAGAGAAATTTGTAAGCAGCTTCATACATCTCTCATTCTCACTGAAGCTTTCTCAATTCACATACAGTAAAAATCTGATATAGCAAGCCTTCACAAGAAAACTGTTTTCAATTGTGCCCATGTAGATAAATAAATCCTCGATCCGTTATGAAAAAGTTATACTCACTGAGTTAATTCAAAGTTTGCCTAGACAATGCGCTGATTTTGCATGACTTGCTTAACAAACTGCAGATTTAGAGTCAGATTTTATCAGAGTAATAAGTTGATCAACTGATCTTAACCTCTTTTCGCGGGAATCGCGAACCCCTTGTTTTGTTTTATGTAAAAGAATTGGAATGCAAATTTATTTGAGTTGAACCGAAAATTAGCCAAGACCAAGCCAGTTTTTTTGTATGTGCAGAGTGTGCCCTTCTCAATCGTTATCGCCATCTCTAAAAGAGTTTGAGAATAAAAAAAGCTTTAAAAATGATCGCTAAACAACTTTATTTTGGCTAGTTACTGTTTTCACGAACCTTGCTTTACGAGAGAGAGGACCGCGACCACATACGTTCAGCATCAGTATCAGCATCTCTGCAAATTGAGACTCACATACGTTGAAGTACAATTTCTATTGTCAAAATCTATCAGTAAGATTTAAGAAAAACAATTCATCCATCATTCTCAGCCAACCTCTTCTCCTTAGGAGGATCATCGAGACGAACGCGTTCATCTTCATGAGAATCGTCATCATCTCTAAAGGGAATTGTCACCTTGACATCAATGTATTACGAATAGTTTTATTGCACTTGTCACTTACACAAACTTACGGATAAATCGTTCTCAAAGTCTAAGATTTGTTGATGATTCACAACTAACCTCTTCTCCTTTTCGTCGTCACGGCGTTCACGTTGATCTTTTTGGGGATCCTTAGGCATGCTTCTAAAATTGGAATGCTAGGGATGGTAACACTGCTATCTTGAATCTTAGGTACAATATTGAACCGGATTGCTCAATAGGTCTGCTTGCATGATAAACACTAACCTCTTCTCCCTATCGTCGTCACGGCGTACGCGTTGGTCTCCTTGCGCCTTGTCGTCTCTATAATTGGAATGCTGGTAATTGCATTTATTCCACTATATTCTCCCATTCTAACACTTCCACAAAGATTACTCAACATATTTTTCTCTAATAAAACTTACGCCACAATCACACAAATCAGCGCAAATGCTAGGAAAAGAAAGAAAATCGAACGCATTTTGGATCAGCAAATCTTCGTTTGTCAGAATCTGATTCCCGAGCTTTTATAGCTTTGGCGGATTCCCCTAAAAAGTTGGTCAAAACATTGAAAAACCTTGTTTGGTTTTGAAAAACCTTCAGTGTTGTTGTTATCCTTGAGGCAGAAATCTTTCGGTGGAACCATTGGATCAAAAAATTCTGACCAATATCACCTAGTCATCGCTTCAAAAAAAATCGGAAAATGAAAAAGACAAATTGCACATCATTTTTTCCAAAAATTGTGAAAATTTGTTGATCGAAAACTTTGGGTTTCAACGTCTTTTTTCATTACAATAACAAGTCAATTTGGAAAACTCGTACAAAAAGTTTATGCACAATTTGCCCGTTCTGCTGGCCAAACTCTTGTTTCATCTATAGCAATGGTTTTCTTTGAAAACGGGATTTGTTTCGTTTGTTTTTTGTTTTCCCTTTTCGAATCCTCAAAACACATTGTCCTTGAAAAAGGCGCGTTCAGAATGGTCAAGGTCAAGAATCAATCAGTGAAAAACTCTACAAAAAACAATAACAAAGCAGAAAAAGATATTATCCCGTTTTACTACAGAGTAGTTTATATTTGCTGTCAGCTTGATAATCAGTCAACTTTGCTTTATTTGCCATTTTTGATTCTAGAGTACTTGAAAGCCAGTGTTTTGTTCTAAAATCTGCGTAATTTGTAAAGCTATGTAAGTGTTTCAACGTCCGAAATAAAAAATAATCTGACGATGCAAGGTCAGGGGAGTAAGGTGCGTGAAGCAAAAGTCTCCAACCTAGCTCCTCAATTTTTTTTATGAGTGGGGTTTAGCGTCATCGTCCAGAAATCGGACTCTTGACGGTTTGATCCCCAACTTCATTAAAGCTTTGTTAACTCTCACTAGTTTTTTTGAGTAAAGGTCTGTATAGACTGTTGGTCTAGGTTTTAGCATTGAGCTTTTTAGATATTTCAATAGTATAGAGCAAATCGCCATTTAAGATTTCTAGACGGCGTCCAGTTCTAGAGGCTTTCATTGCCGTCTCGAAAACGCTGAAACCATCGACGACACTGACTTTTACTGATACAATCATCTCGGGATCCATATCTTTCTCTAAAAAAATCAAAGATCAAAGAAAAACCGCATCTTAGTAATAGTTGAATCTATAGAACTTACAGAGCAACTCTTCAAAGTTTAAGATTTAACGTTTTAACAATTGGTTTCGTATTAACAGCTTCACACATCTCTCATTTTCACTGAAGCTTTCTCAATTCATATACATTCATATGTATATGTAAAAATCTGATATAGCAGGCTTTCACAAGAAAACTGTATTCAGTTGTGTTCATCAGTAGTCAAATAAATCCCCGATTTGTTATGAAAATGTTATACTCACTAAGTTAAGTCAAAGTTTGCTTAGATAATAAGCTGGTCAACTGATCTTCCTCTTCTCACGGGGATCGTCACGATGAACACGTTGATCGTAGTCGAAATCACGGCGAACTCTTTGATCAGAGTCGAAGCCACGACGAACGCGTTGATCGTAGTCGAAGTCACTAAAATTCTTCATAGCCTCTATTTCCATTCTGTTTCAAATTCCTTTACAGCAAGCCTGATGCAAACTTCCATCTACTTGAACAAAACTTTCTCAGCAATCACAGAAAGCAGCACAAATGCTAAGAAAACAAAAAGAATTTGGCGCATTTTTTCGATGAGTTCGGTCAATCTCTTTCTTGTTCCCAATTTTTTATAACTTTTGTGTATTTCCTAATTGCTCAAAACAAAGAAAAACCGTGATTGATTCTAGTGTTTCAATCTCAAGGCCAAAACTCGAGTGGAACCATCAGAGAAAGATTTTTCTATTAAACGTCACGCAGTAACTGAATAAACTGTAAATAGGTACTTACAGGTATTTGTTTCTTTGAACTTGTAAAAACACAAGAAACGTCCTTGGAAGGGCAAGCTCGAATATTGATCAAGAACACTGGCAAGAAAAGGAGAAGAATAGATAAGCATGAAAATTAATCAAGTTTTGTAACATTATCAATAAGATATATAATCTATTGTCAAATCTAATCTTTAAACTTCAAAACAAGAAGCTTTTAAGGCATTTTATTTTTATTTTCATTTTTGTAACTGACACTTTGTAACTCGTTGACCCGTTATTAAAGGAACTCTTCTGTTTTCAAGCTTTGTTTCACTAGACTATACAGTTTTTGTGTCTGGCTCAAATGATTTTTGATGAAATGATCAAATGAATCGAAATCAAAAAAGGCGACAACCTGAAGACGCAATTTAGGCGCTTTGTTCCACAGAAACCTAGGTTGCTGTCAATAGATAAAAGATAGAGCCCGAAAAGTTAGGTATATGGCCAAATTTTCAGGATAATCTGTTCAGCCGATTTTTTTGTAGAGCTTTTTATCGAATTTTACGAAAAACGAGTTTTTTTCACTCGACTTTCCTTGGAAAAGGACTTTTCTTAAAAAGGTAGAAAAATGAATAATCGACATTTTCTATTTAGAGCCAATTGTTGGTGAATTTGTCATTTATTTCTTCAGACTGTACCTTTTGTATTTTGTGGAAGTAGTGCTATCTATTTTGTTTATTGTTTAGTCTCTTATCTTGAGAATTTCTCGTCACCGATGCTCAAGAAATCAATGTGTACTGAGCTTTCGAAGGAGAATTTTTCTATCAAAGCTTTCAAAAATATATATGCTAATGAAAATTTCAATTGTTTGTTGTTTGCTATATTTGGTTACTCTAACTTTTGCGCTCAATGTCCACAAGGAACTATTCATTATGGAGACAGGAATGAATGTATCGATGCGGTGGATGCAAGTTCGTTTCAAACTTTGCAATATTGACACAACGGTCAATACTCATTGTCAATACTGAGACACATTTACCATCTTATTATCATTAGAAACAACATATTCTGGCGCTCAACTTCTTTGCACACAAGTAAATGGCCGACTTATTCCAAATCCAGGATATTTTTTGAAAATGTGGTCACTGGAACGCAAGCTGGACAAAGGTAAATTTTTAGCTATCAAAATCAACTAACTCAATTTCAGTAATTGGCAACAATAGTCATTCTTACATTGGAGTTCAACAACAAAATGGAAACTGGGTTTATGGTGATGGAAGTCCGTTGATCTATCAGAATTGGAAAAGTGGTCGGAATTTGAAGAATATTTCTAAGTAGCGTTAGTATAATACAAGACAAGATACTATTTACCACTGAATCTTGTTAGTTCTAAGTTTTCCAGGTCATCCTTTATCCAACATGAGTTGTGCGGTGATCAGTGCAAAGGATTACCAATGGACATCCGTTGATTGTGCATCAAGTCACTCCTTCATTTGCTCGATTCCCGATCAGACACCAACTCAAACCACAACGATTCGTGTAATCACCACTCGCACAACTCCATCCACTATTACTCCACCCACCGTCACTCCACCATCATCTGGTGAGTAAAGGAGTCAAATAGGTAAAAGCAAATCAACTTTCATAACATTCCAGGTTGTCCAAACGGTTGGATTATATACAAACACAACTGTTATTACTTTGCTGGAGTTTGTTTATTTTATGTTGCCCAAACATTTCTCTCTTAGAGTGCAAACTCGACCAATGTTACTTATTATTATATAAAGATGGTGAGGCAATTTGCCAACAAATGGGATCTCTATCTCGTGTCGATTCATCCTCAGTTTGAGTTCCTTTGATTTTGTGTAACGTTAGTTTTTTGAGTATTGGTCGAATCAGTGATTTGGTCTAGACATGGGCACTAGAGGTTACAAACGTGTAGTTCATAACGCTTAATTTTCTTTAAATCTGCCGGATTTGATATGACCCAGCTTAAAAATAGAAAATCCTCAAGAGCTATTGAATGAGCTGGGAAGCACAGGCAAATAGTAATGCTAAAAGAAAGTTACAGTGATTTGTAGTCCTGACTCGAGCGTAGTCGAAGTGATTGAGCCAGGCTACAAAACCACTATAACTTTCTTTAGAATTCTATTTTGCCTGTGCTTTAGTCTATTCGAAAGCCCTGGAGATCCTCTATTTTTAAGCTATAGATTATATCAATCCAGCAGATTTGGAAGCGAGTTAAAGTGTTTGTAGTGTTTGTCATTTTTGTAGTTTGTCGTTTTTACGTCTTACTTGGTCATACGGGAACCAGAACTAGAAATCTTCAGGATGATCACCAAGCTTTTGGTTTTTCATTAAACAAATTTGTTTAGGTAACATCGCCATTAATTCAAACACTACCGATTGTCATGCAAATCAAGCAATGATCGGATTGACATGTGTGGCAGTTGGTCGAAATAAAGACGCGGACGTGGAGTGATGGATCAACTTTCGACTTTGACGAAACTCAAACCTTTTGGTGCTGATGTTTATGGAGTAAGGGAGACGCTTCTATGGAGTAAGGAGACTTTTGAGTGATAGGATAAAGTCTTTGAGAGATAAGATAAAATTTGGACTGATAAGATGAGGACTTGTAAATACCTCTGATAGAAATTAGATTAGAATTAGAATAGAAAACTAATGAAAAAGATCGAATTAACGTTTCTCAGATGATGAATGACCCAAATTGAGCTATGAGCATGGCTACTGGGATCCATGGGGTGGCACGATGTCATTTTCTCGATTTGTTTGCAAAATGAAAGAGAACTGAAAGAGAAATAAAGTTTTGGCTTTGAATTCTGATAAAAATTGCCTTTAGGTTGTTTAATAGGTGACATTTGCATTTAATCGGCTATCGTACATCTGTTATTATCGAAACTGAAAACATTTATTGCACAGGCAAAACGACAAAAACTTTCAAGAACAATTTCCAAATTCATTTGAATTTTCATACTCCTGCAAAAATTTGATTCTGTTGTCGAATTTGCTGTTTCTCGTTTTATCTTTTGTTTCCTGACTAAAACCAATTCATAAAAACAATTGATCGAATCACTAATCATCTGTCGATAACAAAACTTTTTCAATATTTTTTCATGAAACTTATCATTGTAGAAAAAGTGAATATTTTTCCACTTTTTCTGAAATTCAAGTCTTGCATTCAAGATTTCACGAATCTCCTCAAAGTACCCATCTCCACGCCTGTGATTGTGGCATTTCAAGACAAAGAGCCAAGTCTAAATTCTTTGATGGAAGTCCATTCTCAACGTGATTTCATGAAGCTTTTGTGTAAAATAGTTGTGATTCGATGTAGAGCAGAGAATTAATCTCTTCAAGTGCTCAAGCTTGCATAAATGCTCACAAATCGGGTAGATCTGCTTCGATAACTTTGATTTGTTTACAGGAAATGAGATGATTTTGCAGAAAATTCAAGTATATATGCACTTGATCGGAGTCACAACAGGTAAAAGAGACAAATTTAGTGACGTGAAAACGGAGATCTTTAAGGAGTTCCCTAAAAACAGAATAAATCATCAGGGCCTGCCTGGAATTCGTCGGACAATTCGCAGATTTTGGAAACTTTTAATTAGCAAGTCGAGCTCCTGCTTTTTCGCTGAAGGATCACTTTTCCCAAGAACACAATCTGTTTCCTAAGCAAGCTTTTGCAAATGACAAGTTTTTTGAAAAGCTCTCATAATTAGAGCGTTACGGACAGTGAACTCAAAGCTAGTCGATTTATCAACAATTTTTATCTGTAAAGGCTTCGGTAATATTTTACGGTCATGTCCGATTTCAGGAAAAAGTGATTGACATTTCATTAACAGATTTTCCGAAAATTCCATTTAATAGAAATATAAGATCGAAGAGATTTGTTGATCTTTGAGTAAACTGATGAGTAAAGCTGGTTGAAGATTCTCCAAGATCGACTTTTAAGCTCAAATGGGAGACGGTTCAGCGGGAAAGTTGTACGATCAGTTGAGTTTTTCTGACCCATTTTGGACAAGATTAGCTTAAGAATATTTCAAGCAATGCAATGAGAATTTGAATTTGAACAAAGGCAAAAGATTTCGAGGCAAGAGTTGGTAGAAAATTTTTTTGCAAAACGGTGTAGAAAGTTTATTAGGCAGCATCGAGAAAATGGAAAAAGACATTCAGGTAAATGTTGTTAGAGAGATAAGAACCTTTCAGCGAGGGGTTTTGAATCAATTGATGGACACTTTTAGTCTTCATGGTTTTGCAAAGTGTAAAGAATTTCTACTGCAAGTATTCTTGCTTTACGCGATTTTTAGCTTGTTGTTATCCAACAATGAAGGTGTGAATTGTAAAGAACGATTTAAA